CCCCCCCCGGCACCCACCATGCAACATAGCTAGGCTGCAACGAAGCCTAAATCCAATTGGCCACAGTTGCTCACACCCATGGTTGCTCGAGTTGAGATTCCTGCTTGGCAGGGGGTTGGACTAGATGACCCTCGGGATCCCTTCCGATTCTACGATTCAGCGTGGGGTTCCTCCCCTCGCCCTGGCCTGCTGCCTCCAGGGTCTCCCCTCTCTCTGCTATTTCCCCATCTCTCGAAAGGTCAGTTTGTAACCTGCCTCTTTCGCTCGGTCTCTGTTACTCTGCGCCACAATGAATATGAGCAGCAACAGTAATAATTCGCAGAGAGGACCTGGATGGGTTTTCCGTGAGGCTGGCAGGATCCTGCGGCCCCATCTGGGGCTGGTCTTCTGCTGTTGCTTTTTCACCTCTCTTGGGAGACCGTTGGCTCCAGGATCCCAAACAACACACTCTCCCTGAAGCTGCTCAGTTCATTCCCCCCCTCAATTTTTTTATTCATTTTATTACACAAATAAAGAACACAAACAGAAAAACAAACAATACAAACAGATTATTCTCTTATCCTTATTTTTCTAAACATTGTTAGGTGGGCTTCCGCAAGTCCCACCTATCTGATTTTCATTTTACTTCATCTTTAGCAGTTTACATATATCATAGTTTCTAACCATCTTTTTTTTAAAACACACTTAAAATAACTTCACATTTTATCACTTACAAATAATACTGTTTTAAAATACCCTATCTTCTACTTCTAACCCTACAGCCTATATCCACTTCCAAAGCTATTCTGAGATTTAAATATTAACATATTTTTTCAAATATTCCTTAAACATCTTCCAGTCTTCTTCCACCGTCTCTTCTCTCTGGTCTCGGAGTCTCCCGGTCACTTCGGCAAGTTCCATATAGTCCATTATCTTCATCTTCATCAGTTGGTAAATCTTGTTTCTTCCCATTCTTTGCTAGCAATATTCTCGCAGCTGTTGTGTCATACAGAAAATGAAGCTGCTCAGTTCAGGCATCAGCTGTCAGTTCAGGCATCCCACCAAATGGGACGGGATTTGGGGAGGAGGAGGCTATGGATGGCTCCGAGCCAGGATGAAGGCAGCCCTGCTTCTGGCTGCTGGAAACCACAGGAGAGGAGAGTTGCTCTTGCCTTCGGATCCTGCTTTCGGGTTTCCCATTGGGGCTTCTGGCTGGCCCAATGGACAGAACTGGAAAGGCCATGGGCTGGATCTTGCGGGGCTTGTCTTATGGTCCCTTTGGCCTGCAACGCTGGCTGCAACCGGCAAAAGGAAGCCCTGGCACATCTGGGCCTGGGATGAAAGGCCACAGCACTTTAAAACCCAGCAATTTTTATTTTGATCAGCTCTGCTGCAACTAACTACTGAGCACCCTGTTACAAGCACCCCAGACTGGGATGAATTCTGATTGCGTTTTGCAATCCCAGGAGATTTGTTTATACTTGGTCACTTTATTCCTAGAGTCATAAAACTGTAGAGTTAGAAGGGACCCCGGGGGGGGGGGGGTCATCTGGTCCAAGCCCCTGCAATGCAGGATTCACACCCAGACCCACAAATACAGTATATAAAATTTATTTATCACCAGCCCTTCGGCCTAAGGTCCCAGGGCGAGCTATGACATTAAAACACAATATTAGAAATAGTTTGCACCTTCCCGTCCCCAGAGAATCTGAATAACTGAAGATAAAATAAGTATCGGAGTCTGGATTTAAAATCCAACGGTCAAATCTCACCTCAAAGCTGACAGTAATGTCACTGAAAAACCTGTTGCAGAAGAAGAAAAAATGGAGATGTGGTGATGAAAGATCACCACATTTCCATTTTTCTTCTTCTTGGGGTTGGGAAATACTGGTCCTCTTGACTGCCTGCTACCATGCAGCTGTTAAATGCACAGGAAACCTCTCCGGGAAATGATGCTGCAAACTTATTTTTACAATGCTTTGAGGGGAGTACCGAAATATTTCCAAAACACCTGCTTGTGTGGCTCCAAGGATGGCATAATCACCTTGGAGGGCCTCTTTTGAAGCTGTGTCTCTTCATCCTTCAGAGGCAAACTGGGTTCCTCTCTGCTTTATATGCCTGAGGGTCTCTTCACTTCATTGTGGATCTGATTATTGGGTTGTTTTTATTTTTATTAAAATGGAAAGCGTAATGCTGGCAGTCAGCAAAAGAGGTTTAAAGACTCTCTCAAGGCAAATCTTTAAAAATGTAGTATAAACACCAACAATTGGGAAACACTGGCCTGCAAGCCCTCCACTTGGAGAACAGCCATGACCAAAGGTGTCATGGGCTTTGAAGACACTCGAACTCAGGACGCAAGGGAGAAACATGCCAAGAGGAAGGCACACTTGGCAAATCCACACCATGATCAACTCCCGCCCGGAAACCAATGTCCCCGCTGTGGAAGGCCGTGTGGATCCAGAATTGGCCTCCACAGTCACTTACAGACTCATTGTTAAAACCGTGTTTATGGAAGACAATCTTCCTCGGCTAGGAGGGATCACCAAAGAAAAAGAAGAATTTGATGTTTTATCTTGTGATTTTATCTTGTGAACCGCCCTGAGACCTGAGGGCATAGGGCAGTATACAAATTTAATAAGTAAGCACTGGGAACAATGCTACCACTACCACTATTATTATTATTATTATTATTATTAATATACCACTCTTCACCACAAGATCTCAGGTTGAACCTTTCTGCCCACCAACCACCAGCCGCTTTCCCAAGCCAGATCTGGCACTGGCTCATCCTGGTGCTTCTCAAGTCGGCCAAAGCCATTGCCTGGACAGAGGAATTGCCTTGGCAAGCTTGCTGTCTCTTTGCCGGCACATGACAGGTCACAGCTGGGGAGCCCAGCCGGCTGCAGGCCAAGCAGGGAAAGCAAATATTAGCACTCAGTGACTCCTGGGATGGTCCACGTGGAAGGAGGAAGGTCAGGAGAGGTGCACTCGGATGCTCCTTGGACTTGGCTGTGGTTGAGCCTCCCTCCCTGGACGCTTTCATGGGCACTAGAAGGGGCTGCCTGCCTGGGCCTGCACCACATGCTGAGGGTCCAGGAGTCTGGAGAGGAAGCTGGCAGAGCCATGGATCTAGAATGCAGGGGGTCTAGTATCATCAACTTGTAGAGGGTCATCTAGAGGGCTATCCCACGGGGGATGGAGCAAGCTTGTTTTCCTCCTGCTCCGGAGGGTTAGGACTCGAACCCATGGCTTCAAGTTACAAGGAAGGAGATTCCAATTAAACACCAGGAAGAACTTTCTGACAGCAAGAGCTGTTTGCCAGTGGAACAGACTCCCACAAGAGGTGATGGACTCTCCTTCCTCGGAGGTATTTAAGCAGAGGCTGGATGGCCATCTGCCCGGGATGCTTTAGCTGAGATTCCTGCATTGCAGGGGGTTGGACTGGATGACCCTCGGGGTTCCCTTCTTGCGACAGGGGATTGGTGATGCTCGTTGTTGGACACGAGGGCCCTTTCCCTCGCAGCGTGCAATGGCGGGACTTCTTGGCGTGGGTCACTGTGAGCCCGGTGTCCTGAAAGGCCCCTTCGTTGTGGTTCATCATGACCTGACAGAGAATGTTAGAGGGGTGGGGCGGGCAGAGGCACTGGCACAGAGGTGCCCTCCCTTCCTCCCTCTTTGCCAGCCGGGGACTGGGCTCCATTGGTGGCCTTTGGATCTCTGGCGCAAGCCAAAGGAAGCCCAGTGCTGCAGCGTGGGATCAGGACCGGGAAGCCCCTTCCCCCTTAACCCAGGGGCAGGGTGAGCTGCGAGGTGAGTGAAAACCACTCAGGGTATGCTCAGAGGCTACCTCTCCGTGGTTAACTTTGCAGTGTCCTGTTTAGGTATGTGTTTAGGTGAGACCATCTTGGGGCATTGCCAGGCTGGGTGCACAAATCTGCACAAAATCTGCGTGTTTAGGGAAGCTTTTAATGTTTAATAGGTTATTGTATTTTAGTGTTCTGTTCTGTTCTGTTGGAAGCCGCCCAGATGGGCAGGGTATAAATAAATAATAATAATAATAATAATAATAATAGTAATAATAAGTAGCAATTGGCATAACAGCAGCAGCGGCAGCAACAACAACAATTTATGCACCACCCATCTGGCAGGGTTTCCCCAGCTATTCTGGGCGGCTTCCAGCAAAATATTAAAATACAATAATTCATCAAATATCAATACCAGCCACCCTAGAAGCAGTGTGTGTGTGTGTGTGTGTGTGTGTGTGTGTGTGTGTCTTTAAAGGAAGATGGCTGATGGCAGCATCACGGCAAAACCCAAAAACTGTGCTGGTACACTGCCCACCCAAGCGCCTTCCCTGCGCCCCCCAATTCCAGGCTGGGGTCCCCAGCCAGGAAAAGCAGCTGCTCTGCCTGTCCAGACCACCACCCAATTTCTAAAGAGAAAAGTGGGCTTGCACATGCATAGAATGGTAGAGTTGGGAGGGCACCTCCAGGGGTCATCTAGTCCAACCCGCTGCAATGCAGGAATCTCAGCTAAAGATCTGCTTAAAAACCTTCCCTGCCCCCTGGCTGACCCTAAACTCGCCGGGAGAGAAATCGCCCTCTGCCCATGTGCAGAGGCACCTCCGCTTTGCCAGAGGAACAGGAGAGGGTGCGGGGTTTGGAGGGATCTGGCTGAGCGGGGCGAGGCGGGGTCTCCAGGGTGCCCTGCCTCGGAAGGGCTCCCCAGGGGTGTCCCCCGAGGCCCCCCGGAGAGCGCCTGTGTCCACGGGAGGGCGTCCTCCGCTCCTCGGCGCGCGCGCCTCCGGGCACGGCTGCTGGCACGGAGCCTCGGCCGCTTCTGCCCGGCGGGGGTGGAGGCAGCGCGGGCAGGGCAGAGGACGGGCGCGCAGGAGCCGGGAGCGCCTTGCCGGGGAGAGCCGCCCGCAAGCGCGCCGTCGAGGGCCATCCGCTCCGGGGACGCGGCTCGGACAGTGTCCGGGGCGCCGCAGCGCGCCGTGCGCCCCGTCGAGGCCGCTCGCCATGGACGGGCAGGCGGCGCTGTGCGGCGTCGAGGCGGGCGAAGAGGCGTCGGGGGCGCCCCACTACGACTACAGCCGCATCGTGGGGCCGCTGCGCGAGCCCGCGGCCCCCGGCCAGAGGACGCGGCGCCCCGGCGGGCCGGCCAACGGCTGCGCCCCCATCTACGCGGGACACGAGACGGCGGCGCAGAGGTACAACGCTCGTCTCCTGCAGGCCGGTTACGAGCCGGAGAGGTGAGCGGCGCCCGATTCGGGGAAGCCCCGGGGGGGGGGGGTTCGGGGTGAGAGCTAGTTTCTCCTTCCCCACTAACTCGGGTTGACTAACTCCGGAACCAATCGCGGTACTTCTGAACTTCGGTTGTTGGCAAAAGGATCGTTTTAGTTTGGCAGGCGGAACTCAGACAGGCTGCGCACTTGCTTATTCTGCACCTGGGCGCCAGGTGCGCGTCCACATGCGCGCTCAGCCCGGTTTTACCCCGCGAGGTGGGCTGGGTGCTGAGTGGGGGCGACTGGCCCCGGGTCGCCCTTGGAGAGCACCAGCCAGCCGTCCCCCCACGTCGTTGCGCTTGCCGTGCCAGGAGAGACGCTCCCAGCTTGGGGCTTCTCTGCTCCTCGGAGGTTCCTGGCTGGCGGGGATCGACTGGTGGACCTCTGGGTGACCCAAAGTAGATCAGCAAGGGTTTATGACTTCCAGTGGCTCAAAACCATCTGACTGTGCCACAGGGGGTATATTTTTAGGGGCTGCACATTGGGTTTTAATTGACGTTAATACCGTAATTTTTGAGTTTAGCCACCCTGGGACATCCTGGGGAAGGGTGTGTAAGGATCTGAATTAATAACATCAACAATTACAACAGTAGCAACAAGCCGGCTCTTCTGCCTCCCTACGTCAACCAGTTGAAATGAATAGAGTTTGGCGGTGTGTGTTGAAAGGGACCCCCTTAGGTCATCTAGTTCAACCTCCTGCAATGCAGGAGTCTCAACTAGATCATCCAGGGCAGATGGCCACCCAACCTCTGCTTAAAAACCTCCAAGGAAGAAGAAGAAGAGAGTCTCAAAGTGGCTAACATTCTCCTTTCCCTTCCTCCCCCACAACAAACACTCTGTGAGGTGAGTGGGGCTGAGAGACCTCAAAGAAGTGTGACTGGCCCAAGGTCACCCAGCAGCTGCTTGTGGAGGAGCAGAGACGGTTCCCCAGATTACGAGACTACCGCTCTTAACCACTACAGCACACTGGCTCCCACAGCATCCTGAGGGAGACATTCCACTGCCAAAGATCTCTTAGCATTGGAAAGTCTGTTCCGTATGTTGAGTCGGAATCGCACTTCCTGCCCTTTGAATCCACCGGTTCAGATCCTTCCCTCTGGAGCAGAAGAAAACAAGCTTGCTCCATGCTGTGGTCTCACCTCTACACCTTCCCTTCTCCAGGCCCAACCCCAAGTGGGAGCTCCCTTCGGTCCTGACCCTCAAAACAAATCCCTGGGCTTAGAGAGCTTTCAGTGTCTATGATTCAAAAAGAAACAGAGTAGATGCTGCTGCAGACCTGGAATCTGCCACTGGCTCCCAAAATGTTCCTGGAATCTTGGGACCTCCAGGAGGCCATGAAGACATTTGCAACACACCCCCTCCACCACCCAGCCAAGTCAAGAGGTGACCTGGGGGCACCCAGAACCCTGGGCAGGATCCTGAGGCTCCCCCCTGCCTTGCACAGAGGCAGAGCTCATCCCACCTAGGTCAGTATTTTCGGCATCAGCCTCTCATGGTCCCTAGATGTTGCAGGACTTCAACTCCCATCAGTCCAGCATGGCTTGTGGTCAGGGATGCCAGAACATCTGGGGACCCAAAGTTGAGAAAGGCTCTTCTCCACTCGCTGTCGACAGCAGCTGTCTAGAATTTCAGGCAGGGGGCCATAACCAGCCCTGCCTGGAGACAGCAGCACTATTAGGGCTTGAACCCGGGTCCGTCTCAGTGCAAAGGAAAGGGACCCCTGACCTCCAGGGCCCCTGCCCAGGATCCTTGTGACGGCCCCTGGTCCCTGCTTCTCGCTTGCACAGCCAGCCCTGTAGGCTCCAGAAATGCCAGTTTTTGAAGGCTGCCCCATTTCTTGTCCTGTGATTCACCTGGGACGCAACTGCCGGGGGAAGTCTTCATTGTGCAAAAGCCCCATTGAAATGACCTGGCAAGCAGCTGACCTGTGGCCTGACCCAGCAGAGCCCTTCTTGTGGACTGGCACAAGCACACAGAACTAGCACTGTGAGGTAAAGGTAAAGGGACCCCTGACCATTAGGTCCAGTTGTGACCGACTCTGGGGTTGTGGTGCTCATCTCGCTTTATTGGCCGAGGGAGCCGGCGTACAGCTTCCGGGTCATGTGGCCAGCATGACTAAGCTGCTTCTGGCGAACCAGAGCAGCGCATGGAAACGCCATTTACCTTCCCGCCAGAGTGGGACCTATTTATCTACTTGCACTTTGACGTGCTTTCGAACTGCTAGGTTGGCAGGAGCTGGGACCGAGCAACAGGAGCTCACCCCGTCGTGGGGATTTGAACTGCTGACCTTCTGATCAGCAAGTCCAAGAGGCTCAGTGGTTTAGACCACAGCGCCACCCGTGTCCCAGCGCTGCAAGGTAGGCCACTGTTATTCCCAACAGAAGGTGAGCTACCTGCAGCAGCTACACAGGTGTGTGTGTGCGTGTGTGTGTCTGTGTGTGTGTGGCCAGCTGAAACGGGAATCATCATGGAAGGGAAATCTCTGCATGTGGTGTGGAGTGTGTGTTGGTCCCTGTGAGCACATCTGGGCAATAGCAATAAAAATAATGTTCATCGATATCCTGTGTTTTCCCCAGACCAGGAACAAAGGCGGCCTCCACAAATGCGGCCTAGGACCCTCGTACCTACGGGACCGCCTCTCCTGGTCTGCCCCACAGAGGACCTTAAGGTCTACAAATGACAACACTTTGGAGGTCCCAAGTCGCAAGGTGGTTAGATTGGTCTCCACTAGGGCCAGGGCCTTTTCAGCACTGGCCCCGACTTGGTAGAACGCTCTGTCCCAAGAGACCAGGGTCCTGCGGGACTTGACATCTTTCCGCAGGGCCTGCAAGATGGAGCTGTTCCACCTGGCCTTTGGTTTGGACTCAGTCTGACCCTTATGTTTCCCTCCCCTTATGGTTTTGATCTATGGGCTACTTTTAAAATGAGGCTGCATTTTAAATTGCATTTTAACTTGTATTTTAACTTGGTTTTCCTTTCTCTCCTATTATGTTTTTACTGTGATTTTATTGGTGTTAGCCACCCTGAGCCCAGCTCTGGCCAGGGAGGGCGGGGTATAAATAAAATTTATTATTAGTAGTAGTAGAAATCAAAACAACACAGATCAAATGGGGAAGACTAAAATCATACTTTGAAATACAGTGGTATCTCGGTTTACAAACTCAATCCGTTCTGGAAGTCTGTTCTTAAACCAAAACTGTTCTTAAACCGAGGTGCGCTTTGCCTAATAGACCTCTCGCCGTCTGTGCCCTTCCACCATTCGGATTCCGTTTGTAGACCGAGGTAAAGTTCTCAGATTGGGACACTACTCCCGGTTTTGCAGAGTTTGTAAACCAAATTGTTAAGAACAGGACTGTTCTTAAACCGACGTACCACTGTAGATGCAACTAAACTATAACAGGATTCAAACAATAAAAAAAACAGGTTGCTGACAGGAGAGAGGCCTCGTCCCGAAGAGGTCAAGAGGGCGCTTGAGGGGTAAGGTGACCTCACAGGTAAACTGGTCCCCAGTTGTGATGATGCCATGGAGCAAATCACTGATCCAACCCGTTTACTGAAAGGCCAGCTGGTTCACCAGGAGGCAAATAATAATAATAATAATAATAATAATAATAATAATAATAAATTTTATTTATACCCTGGCCTCCCCAGCCAAGGCCAGGTCAGCGCGGCTAACAAGCAATAATAAAAACAAGTTGAATGAATACAACTTAAAAACAAGATTAAAATGCGACATTAAAACATTAAAATGCAGCCTCATCACAGGAGGAGAAAGGAAAAAGAAAGAGGGGGAGGGAATCAAATTTATTCCAAGCCAAAGGCCAGGCGGAACAACTCTGTCTTACAGGCCCTGCGGAAAGAAATCAGATCCCGCGGGGCCCTGGTCTCATGAGACAGAGCCTTCCACCAGGTCGGAGCCATCACTGAAAAGGCCCTGGCTCTGGTTGAGGCTAATCTGACTTCCTTAGAGCCTGGGACCTCTAGGGTGTTACTATATATGGACCTTAAGGTCCTCCGTGGGGCATACCGGGAGAGGCGGTCCCGTAGGTACGAGGGTCCTAGGCCGTGGCTTAAGAGAGCGCTGGCATAGATAGTGTGGGGGCACCAAAGGGAGAAGGCGTAGAGGCCTGGGCTGCAGGAAGAATCTGAGCCGCTTTCCAGGGGTGAGGATCCCCATAGAAGGGCTGGGGCCCAAGGTCCTCAGCCAGGAACTGGGAATGACCCCAAAGGGGCTGGGGGCTGAGGCTCTGGAGCTGAGGCTCCATGGTGAATCTAAAGGCTGCCTAAGCTGGGTGGGTGACGATTATGATTTAATTTTTCCGCAAGTCTCCATCTGCTCAGCAGAGACCCTGGGTGACCCCGGGGTGGGAGCTCTTTTCGGGCGGCTGCTCGGGGGCTAGTTATCTGCCTTTGGCCTAAAGTGTCTGAGCTCTTACGTAATGACTTTTAAAGGCTTAATATGAATTTGGCAGGTGCTCATCTGATCTGCGTAGCATCTGCCGGCGGTGGGGAGGGGGTGGGCGTTGGGTTTTGCTGGCGGCACTCGTGTGCCGAATCAGAGGGGCTGAAAACCTTCGCCTTAAGCTTGTGGAAGGCAGGAAACCCCCTTGGGTCAGGTCCAGCTGAGCTGTCTGAATGATGGGTGCCCAGGGGCTTTCCAGAGCTCAGGAGGACCCGCAAGGGATGCGCGAGACCCAGCCTGTCCCCATACCGCCACTGCTGCAGAGAGTAGGGCCATGAGAAGAGCCTGGCTGCCGGATCCAGCCGGTGGCTCAACACAGTTCTCGCAGTAGCCAGCCAGATGTCTCTACTGGGAAACCTGCAATCGGAACCTGAGCAGAAAAGCACTATGCTGCCATTTCCTGTTATTCGGGATCATTGGTGCCTCTTCACTGCGGAGGCAGAGTGTGGGCGTCGTGGCGAGGAGCCAGCCAGAGACCCTCTCCCCCCTTGAAAGAGGGGGCCTCTCTTCCACCTGCCCTGCCTGCTCAAACCTGCTTTGCAGGGTTCCTGAGCCCCACAAAGCACAGAGGACAGCAGGATGGGAGCAGGAGAATCGACTCCGGCCGTCTACAGCGCTCTGAGGTCCTCAGCTATTGTCTGTCGAAAGGTAGCTGAGGCGGAAAGCAGCTCATCTGGGCTGGCCTTGGGCTTGACCCATCGAGGGCAGACAAGTGGATTGGGCCCCAGTGTAGCAAAACAGCAAGCGCTCCAGGGCTTCAGGCAGGGGGGGGTCTGCTCCTAGCCCTGCCATGGAGAACTGAACCTGCGAGCTTCTGCATGCCTATTATTATTATTATTATTTTATTATTATTTTCATCTAAAGATCACAGGGTGGTTCAATCCTGAGATAGCCTTCAGTATACACAGCAATCCTCAGATAGCAGCCAGCGGCAAACAGCTCTTCCTCAAGTTCTTTGCAGGACTGAACTGGGGGGTTTTTTGGAGGGAAAAGAGACCTAGCAGACCCTCCTGCCTTTGACAATGGAAAACCAGGAGGGCGACCAGGGGATGGAGTCCACCAGCGCCTGCAAGGATTATGTTATCTATTCTCCATGAGGTCTGGCGACATGCCCCGCCCCAGAACCATTCTAAGCAAGCATTTCCTTGTCCCTTTCTTGGCACTTAAGGTGTCGAATGCACAGCTCACTTCAGTAACTTTGTAAAAAGCCCGGAATTTATTTGGAGCTGCGTAAATCGGTGAGGTCCAGTTCCTCGATGTCAGACGCTGGAATGCTAACAAGGCCTGTTTCTGGGTAGATCAACAGGAGCTTATAGCTGCGTAAGTGGGGAGGCAGAAAGAGAATATCTACTGCCCAGTGGAAGACTGTGAGGTTACCATGGACTTGCCAATGCACACAAACTCATGCTTCTTCTGGCTGTGCTTTCCACACACGTTAAGAGAACCAGGGCAGGGCATTGGCTTCTGCGGACCCCTCCGGAAACGCTGCCTACCTTTTTCTGGCGCACCCTTGCCCCGCAAAGCTGCTCCTGGCTATTTCTGCCACAGGATAGAGGAGTGACGTTGGAGACCTTAATCTCCGAGGCAGCAAATGCTGCTAATTGTGGCCTGGCTGCGATGGGCTGAGCAGAGACAGCAGGGAAGAGGCATATCCGGGGCGGCCCCAGCTGCTGCTCCCCCTGGGCAAAGGTGGGGCGCCTCCCTCTTCCCATGCCCCCTGACCTCTGGGCTGCTTGGAGGGCTTCCGTTTCCTGCCCATAGACTGCCTGTCTTGGGCTGACTTGGGAAAGTGATCACCAATCCCGGTTATTCCAGGACACGACAGTCAAGGCTTTTAGTCTTGCTTCAGAAGGACATGGCAACGTCCGATTCACTCCCTTGATCTTGTGAACAAATGTCTCTTTTTTAAAGATATTGTATTGTATAACTGGGATGCGGATGGCACTGTGGTCTAAACCACTGAGCCTAGGGCTTGCTGATCAGAAGGTCAGCGGTTCGAATCCCTGCAACGGGCTGAGCTCCGGTTGCTCGGTCCCTGCTCCTGCCAACCTAGCAGTTCCAAAGCACGTCAAAGTGCAAGTAGATAAATAGGTACCGCTCCGGCGGGAAGGTGAACGCCGTTTCCGTGCGCTGCTCTGGTTCGCCAGAAGCGGCTTAGTCATGCTGGCCACATGACCCGGAAGCTGTACGCCGGCTCCCTCAGCCAATAAAGCGAGATGAGCGCCGCAACCCCAGAGTCAGTCACGACTGGACCTAATGGTCAGGGGTCCCTTTACCTTTACCTTATTGTATAACTACATTAGTATATAAATCTTAGATTTCTAAATAATTTCACTATATATAAGATAAGATCTAAATCAGTCCAAGAACATTTATTGTAAGATTTCTTTTTCTTTTTCCATTTTCCTTTTTCTGTTTGTTTGTTTGTTTATGTTTTTTGCTAATAGTAATAAAAAAAGAATAGGGTGGTCCTTGGAGATCAGGGAGCGTCTTGCCTCCCTTCTTCCAATTTGGACCAGACAGCTTCCAATCCCTTCAGATCCCAAGCAGTTTACCCCCCAAAGTGGTGGTCCCGTCAGGACTTGGGGCCCCACGGAGATCAGGTCAAAGGAGGGAACTAGTGGGATGACCAGCCAGGTTGCCTCCATAGTAATAGGTCACCAAGAGCTTAGCTGCTGCCCCTGCATTGCAGGGGGTTGGACTAGATGACCCCTGAAGGTCCATCCCAACTCTACAGCTCTGCGATTCTGTGAGCTGTGCTGCAAAAGTTTCCAGGTAGAACAGAAGCCCCTTGAAGATTTGCCCACATTTCACATTTCTCAATTTTGCATCTGATACCCGTCTCAGAATTTGAACGGTTTGGACTAGATTTGGTCCGGCTTTCGGGTAAGGTGGGTGGGCTCAGGAACTGTCAAATGCCATCAAATGCCGCTCACTGCCTGTCAGTTGTCAGTCAAAAGCAATAATCCCAAACGCCACCTAGTGTTAAATAACATTGTGTCCATTGCACACACATTTGGCAAATACCGTATTTTTCACTCCATAAGACACACCTAGTTTTTAGAGGAGGAAAACAAGGGAAAAAAATATTCTGAACGGAACAGTGGATGTATGATTTTCGTGGTTCATGCTGTGGACAAAGACATGGGATCTGATGGTGAATTTGGGGTGACCCAATGCAAAAATCCTGAGGATCCATTTGGATCCATGCTTTGTCACCATGTTTTTGTGCCATTGCAGCCCCACGCAACAGCAGGTGTGTGATTTTTTGGGTGCATGCTGAAGCTGTGGACATGCTATGTGATCTGATGGTGAATTCGGGGTGACCCAGTGCAGAAATCCTGAGGATCCATGGGCTTTTACCTCCCCCCTCCCAGGCAGCCTCCGCTGGCATCCCTTATCTCTCTCCCGATCCCACCAATCAGCTGTTTCCTTTCAACACTCCCTTCCCTCCCTTAGTGTCTTTTCCTTAGCTGGAGCAGTTTTTTGCTCCTCCTTTTCTTCTAATTTCTCTCCTTATTGGTTTAGTCTTCCTGTTTCCCCTCTTTGCAAGTTTGCTGTCTTTCCCTCCCCCCCTCCCAGGCAGCCTCCTTTATCTCAAGTGTCCCTTATCTCTCTCCCCAATCGGCAAATGATCATCGGCTTTGTTTCAACACCCACTTCCCTCTTTCAAAAAAGAGAGCATGATCTGCTTTTTGCCCCTGGGCAATTCGGCTCCAGGGACCATGTATTCGCTCCATAAGATGCACAGACATTTCCCCTTACTTTTTAGGAAGAAAAAAATGCGTCTTATGGAGCGAAAAATACGGTATTCGGCAAACGAAATCAATGAAGCATCTGAGAGAGGAGGCCTTATGGTAATGGGCACATAGATGGACTCCCCCAGGAGGCAGCAATGATCCCCAATTGGGATGGCTATAAAACAGGATTAGGCCCATTCGCAGAGGAGAGGGATGTCAGTGGCTCTTGGCCAGAATGGCTCTGCTCTGACCTCTAAGGTCAGAGGCAGCGGTGCTTCTGAACACCAGCTGTTGGAAACCGCCGGGGGGAGAGTGTGGCTCTTGTGCTCAGATCCTGCTTGCGGGTTTTCCACCATGGGCATCTGGTTGGCCCCTAGGTGACCCAGTAGCCTCTTCTCAAGCGCATGTCTGGGAACGAGGGCCGGCTAGCTGGCTGGCAGGCTCACCCGCCTCTGCTGCCGTAAGAGAGGCTTCCTTCTCCGGCACGAAAACAAGGCTAGCTGCCATGGGGCTGTTTTCCTGCTTGCCTCTCCTGGGGCATAATTAACTGGGCCAGGCTGCTCTGGGCACTGGGGAGCTGCCTGCCTGCAGCTGTACAGAAGCCTCAGCCGCGGGCGCAGGCTGGCAGGGGAGCTGGAACAGGGAAACTCTCTTTCTGCTCCTGCAGTGTGAGAGGAGGGCTGGAGAAGCGGATCAGAAGAGCCTGTTGGATCAGACCAAAGGGCTCTCATCTAGCCCAGCACCCTGGGAAATCTGTATGCAAGATTTGAGCATAATAATAATAATAATAATAATAATAATAATAATATTTTATTTATATCCCACCCTCCCCAGCCGAAGCCAGGCTCAGGGCAGCTAACAACAGTAAAGTAATACAGCATTCTAAAATCAATTCGTTATAAAATCAGTTCATATCAAATCAATGGCAACCATTGGGCTGGAGTTCTGTGAGTTTTACTGAAGGGGGGGTCAGGCTGTGCCTTGGCCAAAGGCCTGGTGGAACAGCTCTGTCTTGCAGGCCCTGCGGAAAGATGTCAAGTCCTGCAGGGTCCTAGTCTCTTGTGACAGAGCGTTCCACCAAATCGGGGCCACGGCCAAAAAAGCCCTGGCTCTTTTTGAGGCCAGCCTAAGCTCCCTGTGGCCCAGGATCTCCAAGATGTTTTTGCTTGAAGACTGTAAGGTCATCCGTGGGACATACCAGGAGAGGGGGTCCTGTGGGTACGAGGGTCTTGGCTGTATAGGGCTTTAAAGGTTAAAACCAGCACCTTAAACCTGATCCTCTACTCCACCGGGAGCAAGACTCTCCCCTCCTGCCATCTCTGGCATTCAGAAGCATTGCTCAGTCCGACTGCGGAAGCAGAGCTGAGCCAACATGTCTAGGAGCCATCAATAGCCTCTCTCCTCCTCCCTGAATTTGTACAACCCTCCTTTGAAGCCACCCAAGTTGGTGGCAGTCCCTGCCTCCGGTGGGAGGGAGTTCCACAGGTTAACTGTGCACGTGGTTTGTGCCATGCACAGGTCGACCCTCAACGACACCTCATTGGTACTTTGGGAGGAAAGATCCTGGCCATCGCGGCTGGGCTGGGCTTCCCCAGCAGGAGGAAGCAATGTTTCTGAATGCCAGTTGCTGGAAACGACAGGGATGTGTGAGTTACTCTTGTGCTCAAATCCTGCTTCTGGGCTTCCCATAATGGGCACCTGGCTTGCCACTGTGGGAACAGAATGCTGGACTAGATGGGCCTGATCCGGCAGGGTTTTCCTTGTGTTCTTATGGAACCTGCAGGGCCAGGGGCAGTCTATCTTGATCCCTGGAGGTATTTGGCCACTGTGATGACCGGATGGGCTGGTCAAGCAGCAAACTCTTCTCCTATGTCCCAGCCAGAAGCTGTGACCTGGCCAGGTGGGCTCACCCTCTTTCCTCCTTCCTAAAAATTGCAGCCAGGGATTTGCGCCTAATGGGAAGTGGCGCCTAATGGGAAGTGGCCCCCAACCAGATTCTGCCGCCTGCAAGCCTGCCCCCAGGGCCTGAGAGGCTGGCTGCCTTTCCCCCTGGCTCTCCTGGACCTTTCAAGACCCGCCTGGCAAGAGGACGGGGATTCGGTTACCATAATTCTTGAAGATTGACGAGGTGAAGTGGCCACATGCGGGGTGAGGCGATCTCGTAGGCAAACTGGTCCCAGGGGCTCAGATCTCTGAGCGCAGGTGTTACAGACTGAGGAGACCTCGCTGCTGTCAGCAATCGGGTTGCAGCATCCCACACTCGCTGCACTGAGGTGTGAGGACAGCCCTACCCAGAGAACAAAGGAAAGAACCTCAGGCAGAGGCCTCATTCAGAAGACGCCGTGTGCGTCTTCTGGTGAAGCTGGATCCTGACTCCCATGATACATTCGACGAAGGGGAGAGATGAGAGTCCAGGAAAGTTGATGCTGCAATAAATTGCGCTGTCCCAAGAGGGACGGCTTTGTTGTTCTTCCTGCCAAAGACTCAAAGACAACGTTTCTGCAAATGGAAAGGATGCGTTTCTGCAGGCGAAGTGCTGCCCCCCGGAGCAGGGATCTCTGCCCAGCAAGCATCTTGCCAGAGGAGAACGGATTCAACAAAAGGCTCCTGTGATCCCAGGGTCCTCAGAGGAGGCTGCCTGCTCTGTCTCTGCATGATTCACCATTCTGGGCTGGCCTCCCCAGCCTGTCCCACCCAGGCTGCGCTTGACGCAGACGATTCTGCTGTTTCCCTGGAGCGGGTGAAACTGGCTCATTTTGCCGATCACTCCCCATGGAGAGGCACAGCCCAGTTATCTGAAGAAGCCACGTCCAGGTTGGGGATGCACACAGAGACACAACGGGGTGATGGTGAACTCCTCTGAGAGAAATTCTCAATGTAGTCTTTTTGTTGGGGTGCAAGCTGAGGGGGATGGACACACAGCTTCACTTTAAATTCCAAATCAAAAGAAGCAAAAATTCAACCCTGGCTTGAGTCATTCATTCATTCATTCATTCATTCATTCATTCCAGGATCTATCCCGTCTTTTACAAGTGTTTGAAGGCAGCTAAGAATAAAGAATTAAAACCACCTCACAGCACGACAATAGACATAAGGGAAGTAGCAGCAAGGCAGCGCCCTGGGAGGAGGGAACTGGCAGCCATGAATACAATTCTCTAGTTTAAAAGTCGGGATGAACCTCATTAAAAGGAAACATTAGAAAAGATTTATCATGGGGGGGGCAGCCCCCCGCCACTCTGCACGCTTAAAGTGTGGGTCATAATGGAGTCACCAGCAAGAGCTTCAATAAAAGGAGGCGCCCAGAGCAAAGCTGGAGGATATAAATGAGGAAACCATTAAAAATGGCCAGCGAAGCTTTGCAAACTCTTCTCCCATCCCACTTTCCCCCTTTAAAGGAACTTTTTAGCCCAGAAAAAAACACAGCTTGTTCTGTGGAAACCAAACAGGGAACATTTCTCCACCTTTCCATGCCCTGCTTATTTCAGGCTGCCAGCCAAGTCAGGCCGGTAAAGAACCATAAAATTGTAGAGTTGGATGGGACCCCTGAGGGTCATCTAGTCCAACCCCCGGCAATACCGAGATCACAACCAAAGCATTCCTGGCAGATGGCTACCCAACCTCTGCTTAAAAGCCTCCAGCATCCCCTTCTGAAGCAGCAGCCCTGCAGAGACAACTCTTAATCTCAGGGACATGGGTTCGAGCCCCACTTCGGGCAAAAGATCCCTGCATTGCGCTGCGTTGGACTAATAATAATAATAATAATAATAATAATAATTTATACCCCACCCTCCCTGGCCAAGGCCAGATGATCCTTGGGTCCCTTCCCACTGTATACCTGGAGGAGTGTCTCCACCTCCATCGTTCTGCCCGGACATTGAGGTCCAGTGCTGAGGGCCTTCTGGCGGTTCCCTCCCTGCAAGAAGCCAAGTTACAGGGAACCAGGCAGAGGGCCTTCTCGGTGGTGGCACCCGCCCTGTGGAACCCCCTCCCATCAGATGTCAAAGAAATTAACAACTATCTGACATTTAGAAGACATCTGAAGGCAGCCCTGTTTAGGGAAGCTTTTAATGTTTAACAGACTACTGTATTTTAATACTTTGTTGGAAGCCACCCAGAGTGGGTGGGGAAACCCAGCCAAATGGTCAGGGTACAAATAATAAATTATTATTATTATTATTCCCCTCTCCAGTGACTGGGCAATTGCAATTGCACTGGGGAAACCGGCTGGTGGAACTCAGTGCAAGTGGGCCTGAGGTTCCCCGTCTGGCCACTGGAGGGCAGCAGAGGCATCCTCTTTCGTTTGTCCTGCTACGGACTTTGGGGTGGGGTCCCTGGCATGGTTGGCATTCCTGGGGCACAGCAGCCAAGGGCAGCTTCTTGCCTCTTCAAGTCTTCAGGTGCCAGCTGCCCACTGCAGAGGCTGCAGAGCTTCTACCGGGCCAGCTTCAAGGCGTTACTTACTCCTGGTATAGGAAGTGCTTAACAACTCGGGACCAGTTTAGCCCACCAGCGGCCACTGGACCACCTGTAGAACTGGCCCTCTTACAGGGGCCACACAAAACCCCACTCCGCATTTGTGAGAGCGCAAACCTTTCGTGTTTACCCTTTGGAACTCCCTGCCTATGGATAACAGGCAGGCACTGTCAGAAGGTTCATGTCTGCTGGCTACAAACCTGCTATGTTTTTATTTTTTTGCTAAGGACAAAAATGAGAGAAAACCCCGCAATGAAAGCCCTCTCTTTGGAGCAGGAACTGCCCTGAAAATGAGGTACAATTTAGAGGTTGCCCATTGATATGGCTGCAGCAATAAGGAGGGGAGACATTGCAAGGAGGAAGCTGTTAATCAACATTGCAGGAGACCCTGAGCAAACAGGCCGGGAGGGGCATGCGCTGCTGTTTTTAACCCAGTGTCTGCAGAGGGACGGCCATCCGAATCGTCCTGCCAGATGCAATCCTTCCAGGAAAGACAGGGTACCCTCCATTCTGCCCTGGTCAGACTTCACAAAGACTCCAGGTCTGGGCACTACGGTTGTAGGGAGGGGAATTCAGGGGGGCAGTTGCCCCCCATCAAGTACGGTAAATAAAAAAAAGAAGTACTTAACTAATTGACCAATTGCATCGCAGGTAACTCGGTTATGCCCCTACAATAAAGCCTGCCCCCCTAAAATAAACCCCGGCTATAGGTAAAAAAGGGGACGCGGATGGAGCTGTGGGTTAAACCACAGAGCCGAGGACTTGCCGATCAGAAGGTTGCCGGTTCAAATCCCTGCAACGACGGGGTGAGCTCCCGTTGCTCCGTCCCTGCTCCTGCCAACCTAGCAGTTCGAAAGCACGTCAAAGTGCAAGTAGATAAATAGGTACCGCTCCAGCGGGAAGGTAAACGGCGTTTCCGTGCGCTGCTCTGGTTCGCCAGAAGCGGCTTAGTCCTGCTGGCCACATGACCCGGAAGCTGTACGCCGGCTCCCTCGGCCAGTAAAGCGAGATGAGCGCCGCAACCCCAGAGTCGGTCACGACTGGATCTAATGGTCAGGGGTCCCTTTACCATTTACCTTTATAGGTAAAAAGGCAAAGGACCCGTGGACGGTTAAGTCAGGCCAAAGGCGACTATGGGGTTGTGGCGCTCATCTTGCTTTCAGGCCGTGGGAGTCGGTGTTTGTCCACAGACAGCTTTTCCGGGTCATGTGACCAGCAGGACTAAACTGCTTCTGGTGCAACGGGACACCGTGATGGAAACCAGGGCGCATTTTACCTTCCCGCCACAGCAGTGGCAACGGACAGGGCAACGGGAGCTCACCCCGTTACATGGATTTGAACCACCAACCTTCTGTTCTGCAAGCCCAAGATGCTCAGTGGTTTAGACCACAGTGGCACCTGCATCCCCTATGCACATGCTGGGCGCCACAATTTAAGAAGGATGTTGACAAGCTGGAAGGTGAGCAGAGGAGGGCGACCAAGAGGATCCAGGGTCTGGAAACCAAGCCTGATGAGGAATGGTTGAAGGAGCTGAGTATGTTTAGCTTGGAAAAGAGGCGTCTGATAAGTGATATGACGGCCTTCTTCAAATATTTGTGGGGCTGCCCCACGGAAGATGGAGCAAGCTGGTTTTCGGATGCTGCACGGGGGAGGACCCAAACCAACAGATCCAAATGAGGAACGAACCCTGAGGAAGAACTTTCTGCTGGCGAGAGCTGTTTGACAGTAGAATGGACTCCCTTCGAAGGTGGTGGACGCTCCTTCCTTGGAGGTTTCTAAGCAGAGGTTGGATCCTGTAGCTGAGATTCCTGCATTGCAGGGGGTAGACTAGGTGACCCTTGGGGTATTTCATGATTCTATGATGGCAGAAAGATTTTTCTTGGCTTGCAAACAGTATCCCTGAAGGAGCGTCTCCACCCCCATCGTTCAGCCTGGACACTGAGGTCCAGCTCCGAGGGCCTTCTGGCGCTTCCCTCCCTGTGAGAAGTGAAGCTACAGGGAACCAGGCAAAGGGTCTTCTCGGTGGTGGCGCCCGCCCTGTGGAACGCCCTCCCATCAGATGTCAAAGAAATTAACAACTATCTGACTAGAAATAAATAAAAAAAATGTCCAGTAGCACCTTAGAGACCAACTGAGTTTGTTCTGGGTATAAGCTTTCGTGTGCATGCACACTTCTTCGGATACGTGCACACAAAAGCTTATACAGTGGTACCTCGGGTTAAGTACTTCATTCGTTCCGGAGGTCTGTTCTTAACCTGAAACTGTTCTTAACCTGAGGCATCACTTTAGCTAATGGGGCCTCCCGCTACCGCCGCACCACTGGAGCACGATTTCTGTTCTCATCCTGAAGCAAAGTTCTTAACCTGAAGCACTATTTCTGGGTTAGCGGAGTCTGTAACCTGAAGCGTATGTAACCTGAAGTGCATGTAACCCAAGGTACCACTGTACCCAGAACAAACTTAGTTGGTCTCTAAGGTGCTACTGGACAATTTTTTTATTTATTTCGACTGCGTCAGACCAACATGGCTACCTACCTGAATCTAGAATCATGACTTTTAGAAGACATCTGAAGGCAGCCCTGTTTAGGGAAGTTTTTAATGTTTGAAGTTTTATTTTGTTTTTAATGTTTTGCTGGAAGCCACCCAGAGTGGCTAGGGAAACCCAGCCAGATGAGAGTATAAATAATAATAATAACAAAGATACCGTATTTTTCGCCCTATAGGACGCACCGCCCCATAAGGCGCACCTAGTTTTTTGGGGGGGAAATAAAGGGGAAAAAATTATTCCCCCCCAGGCGCGGGGCTGGGGTGGGGGAAGCCCGAGCTTCCCCCGACCCCAGCCCCCAAACAGGCAGCTCTCTGCAAGCTGTGGGAGCCCAGTGCTGGCTCCCGCTGCTTGCGGAGAGGTCCGTGAAGCCTAGATGCGCTGAGCTCAGCGCGCACAGGCTTCAGCATGCAGGCAACTCTCCGCAAGCAGCGGGAGCCCAGCGCTGGGCTCCCACTGCTTGCGGAGAGGTGTGCGAAGCCTGCATTCGCCCCATAGGACGCACACACATTTCCCCTTCATTTTTGGAGGGGAAAAAGTGCGTCCTATAGGGCGAAAAATATGGTAATTTCCCCCAAGCAGAGCCAGGCGTTCAAGACAGAAGTCGAGGCAAGGCCCTGGAGCAGAAGGAGCCCAAATCACTCTCCCTCTGTATCGATTCTGCTGCCTCCTTTTGGCCACAGTGACCCATGAACCCCAAAATGTAGTTGGACGCGGTTCTGCTGAACTGGCAAATGGACTTCTGGTGCCTTTGCTCTTGGGGGGACGGCAGAGCACATCAGCCTTAGGCAGGGAGGCCAAATCTCACATTCCTGGCCAAGAGACCCCTCAGGTGTCTCTAGGGCTTCCCCTTTGAGCATCAGTTCCACTCCAAAAGCGGCTTTCAGTGCCAGGGGTCACCCCAAGAAGGAAAGAAAGAGAACGGCCTCTGAGGATGCACAGAGTGCATTGGTGTCACTGCTGAGCACACGCAGCCAGGGTGTACACACTGAAAGTTGTGGCTGCATTAAGAAGCAGCGCCTCCCCTTGCAGGATCAAGCCCCTTTGACAAGGGGTGCTGAGCCCAGGAGCGGCTGGCCTGAGGACCAGGCACGCAATCTGCCTGCCTCGACTTCTCCCTCGAACTCGGGACTCTCCTCGGGGGACATAAATGAAACTCCTGTTTGCAAGCCAAGAAAAACCTTGTGCTTTGGACCTGACCAGCTTTTCCTGGCTGGGAAAAAGTGTGATAGCAGTTTGGTAGGGGAAGGTCAGGGCAGCCCAGGAAGCTTCTCCCAAAAAGAACCATCGTGGTTTGCAAGAGTTTGAAATGGAAATTAAATGCAAACCACACGGGCAGAATTTGCTCGCCGGATTGATTTCACTTCCTCTGATATTTTCATACGGATGGAAAGGAGTCAGGGGAAGAGCTGGCTTGAGTCACGGGTTCGAGATCCGAGTCCCAAGGTTTTTCTCTGTCCCCCGTGGTTTCCTTTTTGCAGTCAGACTCAGGGTGGTTTCCTTGACCACAGGAGCAGAGCTGCCTTCTGCTACCAGACCATCGTGTTTGGCTGCAGTGAGTGCAGGATGCTGCAGCAAAAGTGCTGACAGGGCGAGGCCTTGCCAGCACAGAACACCTGGGCTGCTCAGATGGGCTGCCAATTTGCTACCCCAGATGTGCCCATGCGGCTGCTAGAATCGGTGGAACTGGCATTGCTACAGGTGACCCATAATCCCCCGTCCGCATTTGTAAGAACTCAGTCGCCTCCCCTTTGGAACTCCTCGCCTATTGAGATCAAGCATCGTTCGCCTTTGGGCACCTGCTGAAAGCACTCTTGTTTAGACAAGCCCGCCCAGATGTTTAGAAACTCGATGTGTGGTTTAATCTAAAGGTGAAGGGACCCCGGACCATTAGGTCCAGTCGTGGCCGACTCTGGGGTTGCGGCGCTCATCTCGCTTTACTGGCCGAGGGAGCCAGCATACAGCTTCCGGGTCATGTGGCCAGCATGACTAAGCCGCTTCTGGCGGACCAGAGCAGCGCACGGAAACGGCGTTTACCTTCCTGCTGGAGCGGTACCTATTTATCTACTTGCATTTTGTGCTTTTGAACTGCTAGGTTGGCAGGAGCTAGGACTGAGCAATGGGAGCTCACCCTGTTGTGGGGATTCGAACCACCGACCTTCTGATCGGCAAGCCCTAGGCTCTGTGGTTTAACCCACAGTGCCATCCGCGTCCGTGGTTTAATCTACTTTTAGCCTATTATTAGTTCCACTTTTGAAAGTTTTAAAATAATTGCTGTTAACTTTTCTTACGAATACTTTTATTATCGTTTTCGGAAGCCGCTCAAGTCCCTGCCTCCCCCCCGCCCCAGCTCCACCTTAAAGACGAGAGGTGTATAATTTTATGGGATGAGTAATAAATTGATCCATCCAGCTCAGTAGAGCCTACTCTGACTGGCAGTGAATTTTCCAAGCAGGGAATTTCCCCCAGCCCTGACTGGAGACCCCCTGCCGCTGGGAGTTGCAGCTGGGGACCTTCTGCATGTGGGGCAGGTGTCCTCTCCCTGAGCCATGGCCCTTTCAAAGGGCGGCCGGATCCTGCTTGTGGGTCTCCCAGAATGGGCATCTGCTTGGCAACTTTGAGAACAGGCTGTTGCACAAGAGGGGCCACTGGCAGGATCCAGCCCGGGGCTATTCTGACGTCTGTAAATGAAATTAAAGGGATTCTTGAATGGCGGCAAGTTCTGAAATCATGTGAGGAAGGAATTTAGCTGCAGAGGAAGCCAGTCTGGAATAATTCAGCACCTCGTGGTCAATTAGGCCAATTAACTGCACGGAGATCCTGGCCTCTCCACAAGCGCATGACTTGAGCGCAGGAAAGCATAATAATAATCACAAGAACCATGAAATTGTAGAGTTGGAAGGGACACCCAAGGGTCACCCAGTCCAATCCTGGATTTAGTGGGAATCTCCTTTCTTGTAACTTGAAGCCATGGGTTCGAGTCCTACCCTCCACAGCAGGAGAGAACAAGTTTGCACTGGCCTCCACCCGATATTAGGTGATGGCTACCATGTCGCTTGGGACGCGGGTGGCGCTGTGGGTTAAACCACAGAGCCTAGGGCTTGCCGATCGGAAAGTTGGCGGTTCGAATCCCTGAGACGGGGTGAGCTCCCGTTGCTCAGTCCCAGCTCCTGTCCACCTAGCAGTTCAAAAGCACGTCAAAGCGCAAGTAGATAAATAGGTACCGCTCTGGTGGGAAGGTAAACGGCGTTTCCGTGCGCTGCTCTGGTTCGCCAGAAGCGGCTTAGTCCTGCTGGCCACATGACCCGGAAGCTGTACGCCGGCTCCCTCGGCCAATAAAGCGAGATGAGCGCCGCAACCCCAGAGTTGGTCACGACTGGACCTAATGGTCAGGGGCCCCTTTACCTTTACCATGTTGCTTCTCAATAATATTAAAGAGACTCTCCCGGCAGTTGTCATGGCTTCTGGGGAATGAAGGTCAACCCTATTATCAGATTGGGCGGGGGGGCGGGGCAGCCATGCAAATCCATTGCAGCAAAACAACAAAGAGTATTTCCAGCACCCGAAACCCTTTTATCACGGCTGAAGATACAGCTCACTTCATCAAGCTGTCCACAAAGCGGGGAGGAGTGATCAATTGCCCCAAAATGCAAATTGTAGCACTGCCTAACAACAGTATGTGTGTTTTTTTAAATTTAAAAAGCATTTCTAAACTTGATTATTGATTTATTTGATCCTTAAGATTTACATCCCACTTGTTTTTAAAAAGGCCCAACAACCTCAAAGCGCTTTTCCAAATGAATAAAGCAATAAAATTATCAGCAGAAGGTTTTTTTTAAAAAAATATAAAAACCCAACTATTTAAAACATTCCAAAGATTAAAATACGCAAGGCTGAGTCCTAGGATATGGTTACCAGATTTTTTTCAAGGAATCCGGGGACACTTTCTTTTTCTCTTTCCTTTTTTCCCTGAATTCCATGCTTTATTGTTTTAGAAAAGGGTTGCCCAAAGTTCTTGACCTATTTTTTTTTTTGGGGGGGGGATCCCCAAAGTTGTGGAGCGCACACCTCAACACAAGGCAGGCGGAGAAGCCCGTCTACAAACACACAAATGCAAATTTTAAAAAAAGGTGGCGGGTTGTGTGTGGAGAGAGATTGAATAGAGGCGCTCGCTGGTCTTGGGAAAACACGCATTAAAAGACACACACAAGGCATGTTAAGTTGTGGGTGAACATATCAGACGACACAGCGATTCTTCAAACAGCTCTTGTTTATTCACAGGCCAGAACAGAACTGAACTGAAGGGCTCAGCCAGCCTGCTTATATAGAGCTCCACTAGAACGCAACAGTAACCATTTTCTGTAACTATCCAATCACTGAACGTCACTTTCGATCCCTTATTTGCATATGTGGACCTGAACTATCTACAGTATCCCCCTGCTGGCCCAGGGTGAGAACTTCAGTACATAACAAGGCAGCCGAGTGGCTCAGAGCCCGTTGGAGCGCCACAGGCTCTTCTGCTGCGGGTGGCTCTGCGCGAGTTCGGGGTGAGCGTTGATCAAGGAAGTGAGCCAGAACGAAGCTCTCTGGCTTGCGCCTCGGTTTAAATAGCCCCAACACCAGCCAGCGGATTGGCTGGCTGGAACTTTGATGTGGCCGGGACCTCCAGTGCTACTCACTGCCATGGCGCCCACCATGTTGCCCACCGGAAGTCCCCAGGCATAAATCCGGGGACATTCCGGGGACAGATTTTGTCCGGGGACAGATTGGTGAATCTGGGAACTGTCCCCAGAAACCGGGGACGTCTGGTAACCCTATCCTAGGATTCTGTAAGATGGCTCCTGGGTTTGAGTCCCACGTTGGACAAAAGACTCCTGCCTTGGACTAGATCAGGGGTAGGCAACCTAAGGCCCGAGGGCCAGATCCAGCCCAATCGCCTTCTCAATCCGGCCCACGGATGGTCCAGGAATCAGCGTGTTTTTACATGAGTAGAATGTGTCCTTATATTTAAAATGCATCTCTGGGTTATTTGTGGGGTATAGGAATTCGTTCTCTCTTTCCCCCCGAAAAATATAGTCCGGCCCCCCACAAGGTCTGAGGGACAGTGGACCGGCCCCCTGCTGAAAAAGTCTGCTGATCCCTGGACTAGATGATCCTCACGGTCCCTTCCAGCTCCCCAATCCTAGGATTCACTGGGGAGCTGCCTGCCCATTGACCCCAGTTAAAACCAGCGTCGCTCCGACGTTCCGACCTGGGTTCTCAGACCCTTAAGTCCTTTGCTGGTTCCCCACATCTGGATGCCAAAGAGCTTTCCTTTGCTTGTCAGCCTGTCTGCTTTTGCCCAAAGAGCGGCGCCTGCCTGACCCCAAACCTGCGCTTCCTCTTTGGGGGAGGGGGAGCACAATTGTGGCTGGAGGATGGATGGGGGTTCCTTCTGAGGCCTCCTTGGGCACCAGGAAGCAGGAACCCCTGCCTTCTTCCTTCCTTTTCCTTTCTCCTTCCTTCCTTCCTTCCTTCCTCCTTCTGCTTCCTTCCTTCCTTCCTTTTCCTTCCATCCTTCTCCTTTTCCTTTCTCTCCTTCCTTTCCATCTTCATTCCTTCTCCCCCCTCCCTCCCTTCTCCTTCTTTACTTTTCCTCCCTCCCCATCCTCCTTACTTCTTCCTTCTCCTCCCTTCTTTTTCCTCCCCCCTTTTCTTTCCTTCCCATCCTCCTTCCATCTCCTCCTTCCTTCCTTCTTTCCTCCCTCCCTCCCTCCCTCCTTCCTTTTCCCTTTCCTTTCCCTTTCTCCTTCCTTCCTTCCTTTTCCATCCATCCTTCTTCCTTTTCCTCTTTCTCTCCTTCCTTTTCCTCCCTCCCTCCCTCCCCGCCCTCCTTCCTTCTCCTTCTCCTTCCCTCCCTCCTTCGCCGGAGGGAGGAGCCGCCCTCCCGGGCTGTCCGCGCCCCGCGCTCCGCCCTCCTCCTCCTCCTCTTGGGCGCCGCTTGGTGGCTCCGCTGCGCGGCGGCGGCGGCGGCGCAGAGAGCGCGGGGCGGGCGCCGAGCGCAGCCAACGGCGGACCGAGGAAGCCGCCCGCCCGCCCGCCCGCCCGCCTGCCTGCTCGCCCGCCCGCCCGCCCGCCGGACGACGACGACGAGGAAGCGGCGGCGGAGGCGAGCCCGGCCCGGCGGCTGCGGCGGCTGCGGCGGCGCCATGGGCGAAGGCGAGCCGCTCAGGTAGGCGCGCCAGGGGAGCGCACGGCCGGGGAGGAGGCGAGGCAGGAAGCGGGCCGGGCCGGGCTGGGCCGGGGCGGCGGCGGCTGCTGCTGGTGGCGTCGGCGGCCCCTGGGCGCCCCGGGTGCCCGAGCACCCACCCAGTTCCCCGGGCAGGCTCCGTGCGCCCTTGTCCGTGCGCCCTCGTCCGTGCGCCAGGCAGGGCCAGCCCCGCCGCCTGGCCCCCGCGGCTCCTTGGCTGGACAGGCGGCCCCCGAGCATGTGCAGAGCGCTGACGGCCTCTCTTCTCTCTCCCTTGCCTCCGCAGCATGGCCGACTACCTGATCAGCGGCGGCACCGGCTACATCCCCGAGGACGGCCTGACGGCGCAGCAGCTCTTCGCCATCGCCGACGGACTCACCTACAAGTAAGGGGGGGCAAGGGGGCGGGACCTCCTCCCCATGTGGCTCCCAGCTGGGTCCCTCTGCACGCACCCTGCCTGGGGCCCCCCGGAAGATGGCACCCCCAGGAAAAGGGGCCCCGGCTAGGAAGGGCGTCTCCGCACCACCTGTCCAAGCGCCAGGGGCGGATGGAGACAGCTGGCATCGCCCCATGGCAAGGAGCCCCCTCCCACAGAATGCCTGGCTGGCCCCCTGCATGGATGGCAGGGGTCCTCCTCCTGTCCCCAAGGAGGCCCTGCCCTACACCGTCCGCTGTGTCCCTCTCACCCCCCAAGCGGTCAACCCCAACCTAGTGCCCAACCTGAATCTCAGGATCAGAATCTCTGGCCAGGCCCTGCAAAGAGCAGATGGCGCACGGCAGAAATGTTATTGGGGGACTCCTTGGCTGGCTCTGCTGAAGAGTTCGGCCAGTGGACCTCTGCAATTGCCAACAGGGCCTGCCTTGCTTTTCCTGCCCGGAAATCTGTGAAATGGGCTGCTGGTCACTCTCTGCGCTTCCAGGAGACCCCGCTGTTTGTTGCAATTTGGGTGCAGGGACGTTAGGCAGCGTTGGCCGTTCAATGCATTTTCATTCCAGTCCGTTTGTGGGGAGGTTACTTGGAGTTGCGTCAACGCAAGCGTCATCCCTCCCTGCCTTTCCAAAGTGTTTTTTTCCTTATCGCTTTCCTTTTTTGCAAAAAGAGTGAATCTTCGGGGGAAGCAGGTTTGTTGCGCAAAACCTCCTAGTCAACTCTTAATTGAGGAACCTGGTGACAGCCTTGGGAGGAGGAATTTGCTGAGCTTTTGGGGTTGGTGGGTAGAGGGCAAAAATATTCCGAATGGGCTGCCTCTACCACCTCCTCTTCCTGGGCCTGGCTGGGAGCATCTTCCCCCTCCATCACGGTCTGGCTCTTGGAGTGAATTTGCATGGGAAGGGTTTCTCCTTTAATAATAATAATTGTAATAATAATAGTATCCTGCCCATCTGATTGGGTTGCCCCAGCCACTCTGGGCAATCATCAATATATAAAAAAACACAATAAAATATCAGCCATTTAAAACTTCCCAATACAGGGCTGTCTTCAGATGTCTTCAGATGTGTAGTTGTTCATTTCCATGACATCTGATGGGAGGGAGTTCCACAGGGCAGGTGCCACCACCAAGAAGGCCCTCTGCCTGGTTCCCTGTAACTTCACTTCTCGCAGGGAGGGAACTGCCAGAAGGCCCTCGGAGCTGGACCTCAGTGTCTGGGCAGAACGATGGGGGTGGAGACGCTCCTTCAGATATACTGGACCGAGGCCGTTTAGGGCTTTAAAGGTCAGCAGCCAACCCGAATCCCCCCCTAGAAAACCCACAAGCAGGATGTGATGGATAGTGTGACTTCTTAGGGAGACGTTGCATAAAATCCTGCTGCCTCCATGCTTTGCTGTGCATCTTCTCGATCCTTAGGGACCAGAGAGGGAGGGGAGAGCTCAGCCGTCATGACCAGAAGCTTTTGGAATTGTCTGATCCAAGCTGGGACCGAATCTCGTGGTTTAGCTCTGCTCTGTGCACTCCTACAAATTGCATTCTTGCTCTGGCACAGTTGAGAGTTCCTCTGCTTACCCCGCCCACCAATACATAAAAGCCCAGCAGTTTAAGCTTCTCCTCATATGATGGAAGATGATCCATTAATCAGATTACCACGGTCATCCTCCTTCACCCCGCGTTGCCTCCACATTTTTTAAAAAAACGGTGACTTTTGTTGAGGCTCGAAAGTATTCTGTTCGGTTTGTGGTTCCCCCCTCCCTTCCCTTCTTCTGAATTCGCAGTGAAAAGGCCGCACACAGAGAATGCATGTAAGCAAAACTTGCAGCAAATATTCTCCTTGCGGAGGTTGTTAGTCTTCTCCAGCTGCCGGGACCAAAGGATCGGAGCAGGGGGCTACCCTGCCCCTGGTATTCGGAGGTAGACTGCAGCTGACTGTGGAGGCTCCGTTTCGCTTTCATGGCCGGCTGCCTTGAATAGACCTCTTCTTCATCCCTTTGAATTTCATCTTCATCCCCCTTTCAAAAACAATCCATGCCCCGCGGCCATCGCCGTGCTTTGCGGCAAGAATTGCCTTCAGATTGCCTGTGCTCCTTCCGCTGGACGAGGTTCATGGGCTGGAGGTCAAGGAGGAAGCTTCCTGAGTCAAAAGGGAAGGCGAGGCTCTGGGTTCGTGTTCTGCACGCTGGTTACGTTCTCCCCTTGTACAGAATCACGGTCGTACTTCTGAGAAATCCTGTCAGCTCATAACCGCCCGAAAAATATTCCTAATGTTCAGTTGGAATCTCCTTTCTTGTAACTCAAATCCATTGGTTTGAGTCCTACCCTCCAGAGCAGGAGAAAACAAGCTTGCTCCATCTTCCATGTGACAGCCCTTAAGATATTTGAAGACTGCTCTCATATCTCCTCTTCGTCTCCTCTTTTGCTGGCTAAGCATCCCCAGCTCCTTCGACCGCTCCCCATCAGGCCCTTCATCACCTTGCAGACACTGGTCTCTGTTTGATGTGTTGATGTATTTATCAGCTCCATCTGCTACGCAGGATGAGACCCTCCCTGCCTGCGGACTGTCTTGTCAGAGTGGTGCATGCTCTGGTTATCTCCCGCTTGGACTACTGCAATGCGCTCTATGTGGGGCTACCTTTGAAGGTGACCCGGAAACTGCAACTAATCCAGAATGCGGCAGCCAGACTGGTGACTGGGAGTGGCTGCCGAGTCCATATAACACCGGTCTTGAAAGACCTACATTGGCTCCCAGTACGTTTCCGAGCACAATTCAAAGTGCTGGTGCTGACCTTGAAAGCCCTAAATGGCCTCAGTCCAATATATCTGAAGGAGCGTCTCCACCGCCATCGTTCTACCCGGACACTGAGGTCCAGCACCGAGGGCCTTCTGGCAGTTCCCTTGCTACGAGAAGTCAAGTTACAGGGAACCAGGCAGAGGGCCTTCTTGGTGGTGGCACCTGCCCTGTGGAACACCCTCCCATCAGATGTCAAAGAGCACAAGAACTACCAGACTTTTAGACGACATCTGAAGGCAGCCCTGTTTAGGGAAGCTTTTAATGTTTAATAGGTTATTGTATTTTAGTGTTCTGTTGGAAGCCGCCCAGAGTGGCTGGGGAAACCCAGCCAGGTGGGCGGGGTATAAATAATAAATTATTATTATTACTGTTACTATTATTATTACTATTATTACTATTATTATCTCCTCTCAGTCTCCTCTTTTCCTGTTTATGCATCCCCCACCTCCTTCAACCGCTCCTCATCAGGCCCTTCATCATCTTGCAGACACTGATCTTTGTTTGATGTGCTGTTGCTTGTTCAGCCAGTTTGAAGCGATCCTTCTGGAACTCCTGAATTACCTGGTGCAAGCTTACCCACCTCACTGTTCACCCAAGATCGCTTAAGGAAGTAGTTTAAAAGTGCCGGGCCCTGGAAGACCCCAGCCCTGGCTTCCCTCCGCTGCGAGAATGTGCCGCGTATCTTTAGTTCCTGGTTTTTCTTCCTAAAGCCAGAGGCTCACCTGTATGGAGGCCCCATCCTCATCCCCTGGGATAATTTAGAGGTTTTCGGAAAACAGGAGGCTCTAATCCCCAGGATGCTTCCGGAGGAGTAAGTACTGCCTAACTGGACGCAGCTTGCTTCTGAGTAAACACGCTTTGGGTTGTGCTGCAAGGTCACGATCCTGCGCACACTTAGCTGGAAGCACAGCGGGACTTAATGTCCAAGTAGTCAGGCTCAGGAGGAGCGGCTACTTGCATACAATTTTTATACCAGATTATCTCCCATCTCTCCATGGTTGCTGATGCTCAGGACACGGCAAAGGAAGATTTCCTGCTGCAAAAGCCCTGCTGGTTTTTTTGCCCAGGCTTGTTCTTCCGTATGTTCCGTTATTCGGATTTTAACAATGCTGCCTACAAAGTTGCCAGAGAGAGGTGGTGGGCTCGTGGGTCTGTAATTCCCTCCTAAGTCCTCCATTTAAAAATGGGCCGCCTTCCAGCCCCTCAAGAGGGAAATTGATTTTTAGCAACAAGCCGCCCCTTTTTATTAGAAGATCAGCGTTTTCACATTTCTGTTAGAACTGGACGTCTTCCATCTGGACCCGACGACTTGTCCTTCGCTTGTCTTTTTTTTTTAAAAAAAATGATATTTATTAAAGTTTCACAAAAAAAGAATCACATTAATAAAAAAGAAGAATTTAAGAATAAAAGGAAAAATACACAATGCAAAATACAAAAAGAAAAAAGAAAAAACAGTTAAAAACAATTCCGTCTTTTCATCACTTCTTTTACATTTACTTATTTCCCGGACCTCCTCATACCTCCCTCTTTTGTATTCCAATTCAGTTTGTTAGTCCAGCAATTTCTTTCCCTCCTTTTTAATCCCAATCCTTAATCTTGATATATTATAACATTAATTTTTTACCTATTAAAAACCAATTTTTCCATTCTTTTAACCTTTTTAATCCTAATCCTTAATCTTGATATATTTATAACTTTAAAACCTGTACAGCTAGAAGCCACTTAACTTCAATCCAACATCACTCTAACATTCATTAATTTTGCAATATTTCTGTAAATAATCTTTGAATTTCTTCCAATCTTCTTCCACCGACTCTTCTCCCTGGTCACGGATTCTGCCAGTCATTTCCGCCAATTCCATGTAGTCCATCATTTTCATCTGCCATTCCTCCAGTGTGGGTAGCTCTTGTGTCTTCCAATACCTTGCGATGAGTATTCTTGCTGCTGTTGTAGCATACATAAAGAAAGTTCTATCCTTTTTTAACACCGATTGGCCGACTCTGTCCTTCGTTTGTCACTTGGCCCTAGACCTTCGTCTCTTGTCATTCCTGCTTGACTTAATTCTTCAGATGCCCCTCTTTAAAAAATAAAAATAAAAAATAACCACCACGACACACCTCAAAACTGGTTTGGGCACAGATGCCTGTCCAGAATCTTCTGCAGTGAAGACCAACACAAATAATTCCTTCCCCTTTTCTGCCATCTCCCTCTGCTCCCTTTGGCACCCCTTTTCACACTTCTGTTTTCTGATGTATTTAAAAATAATGTATTAATGTTGGTCTTCATTCTTCTGGTAACTCCTTCCCCCAATCCTCCCTCTTAATTTGAATTTGTTTTGCCAGAGTTTGTGTTCCTTCCTTCTCTCCTCATTTCGGGCATTTTGTTTCAATCATTGGTGCCCATTCCCCATCCGGGTTCTATAAACTCATTTGCAGTCACTTAGAGAAGGCTCTGAAATATTGGCCCTGAGGCTTGAATTTGTTTTGTATGGGGTAGTTTTATTTGACGTTTTAATGTGTTCGTAAGCAGCTCTGAGGTTTTTTCTTTGAAAGTATGAAGTGCACTAGAAATGGAAATAATAATAATAATAGTAGTAGTAGTAAAAATAGTAAATCTCACTATGGGGAAAAATGGTGCATAGACGTTCCATTGTGGTGACCGTAACCTTGGTTTAAGTTGCCATTTGGCAATTAGTTTATATATCTGAGTTTCTTTTTCCCCCTTTCCTTTTTTTGAGTTTTATTTATTTATTAACGTTCTAATGTTAACGTCGGTAAACATTATCATATTACATCACAAGGCTTATTATAAAATAATTTTCAGCATATATACGAAGTTTATATACCTAAAGAAAAGAAACAAGGAGAAAAAACTATTCCAAAATCATATAGGTACCAACACTTTGGACTTCCTGTCTATCCCGTTGTATATTCCTTTTTTACAAATGAATGTACTCTTCTTATTGTATATTTCTTTACATTTTATCTAATACATTCCTATATCAATATGTACCCTTGGTCTTATTCCTCAACTCAGTCTCTCTCCAACGTCAATCGAATGCTAGCATATAGCTGAGTTCCTCGCACTGGCAGAGAGGCGCTTTGGAGATTCCTGTCCATGGAGAGGTTTTCCAGCTTTCCGGCCCTTTATTTCTGAACAGCACCCTTTTCCCATTTTGCGGGCACACTGTGTCTTGGGGAAAGTGTGCCTTGTCTGAATTTGACGGGGTGTCAGATTGTTCCGGGTCCTTGTAGTGGAGAACTTTCTTCCTGCCCTCAAGCTGTGGGACCGGGTGCAGGGGAAGCCAAACCACAGAAATTTAAGGAGACCAGGTGCCCTCAAGGGGAGAGGAAGGGAAGGAGGAATGGAAAGATCCTTCTGGTTATCTTTGCAGAGAATAGCGCCGCCTTTTCCTTGAAGCCAAGGATAGGAGGAGGGATGCAGCCTGTGGCTTTGAGGAGGGCATCTCCCACCTCTCTTGTTTCCCCCCAAACTGTGCAAATCTGGTGGGCGTGGAACGAGGAGCGGTGAATGAGTAAGCGCGTGGTTTAAGAAAACGTTGTCATCCTTTGACGCTAATAATTGAAAAAACGGCTTTTCATCTTGGCAGATCCCCACCGCTGCCAAAAAAAGGATCTCTCTTGGATTTCTGCCACTGCCGTTCATGTCCACCTTGAATTCGCGGGGTGGTCTCCCGCCTCCGGTTCGACACCCAATTCAAATGCCACCCCTTGTGCCTTCCTCCATCCTCTGAGAAGATTCAGGACAAAGAAAGAAAGTCCATCATCATCATCCTCATCCTTATCATAAAATAATAATAATTTCTTATTTATACCTGACCCATCTGACTAGGCTTCCCCAGCCACTTTGGGCAGCTTCCAACGAAATATTAAAAACACAAGAAAACATTAGACATTTAAAACTTCACTAAAGAGGGCCGCCTTCAGATGTCTTCTAAAAGTCAGATAGTTGTTTATTTCCTTGACATCTGATGAGGGGGTGTTCCACAGGGTGGGCGCCACCACCGAGAAGGCCCTCTGTCTGGTTCCCTGTAGCTTTGCTTCTCGCAGGGAGGGAACCGCCAGAAGGCCCTCGGTGCTGGACCTCAGTGTCCGGGTAGAACGATAGGGGTGGAGACGCTCCTTCAGGTATACTGGGCCGAGGCCATTTAGGGCTTTAAAGGCACCAACACTTTGAATTGTGCTTGGAAACGGACCGGGAGCCAGTGTAGGTCTTTCAAGACCAGTGTTATGTGGTCTCGGCAGCCGCTCCCAGTCACCAGTCTAGCTGCCGCATTCTGGATTAGTTGCAGTTTCCTGATCACCTTCAAAGGTAGCCCCAAGTAGAGCGCATTGCAGTAGTCTAAGCGGGAGATAACCAGAGCATGCACCACTCTGGCAAGATAGTCTGCGGGCAGGTAGGGTCTCATCCTGCGTACCAGATGGAGCTGGGAGACAGCCGCCCTGGACACAGAATTGACCTGCGCCTCCATGGACAGCTGAGAATGATCCCCAGGCTGTGCACCTGGTCCTTCAGGGGCACAGTTACCCCATTCAGGACCAGGGAGTCCCCCACCCCTGCCCGCCCCCTGTCCCCCCCCCAAACCATCATTCCTTTAATGCTTGATGGTTCTCCACCCCCCTTCCCTCTGTCTTTTTGTCTGAAGCTGCCCAGAGTGGCTGGGGCATCGCAGTCAGATGGACGGGCTATAAGAAATACATTATTATTAATAATACAGTGGACGCTCCGGTGGCGAATGTGATCTGTGTGGGAGGCACGTTTGCAACCCACAGTGCCGCATCTGCTAACGCGCGGGTTGCGATTTGGTGCTTCTGCGCATGCGCAAAGCGCGATTTAAAAGAGGAATGGACAAATTCACGGCAGAGGAGAGGCCTCTCGACGGCTCGCTCTTCCTCCACGGTCAGAGGAAGCTGTGCTTCTGAATCTTCTCTCCGCCCTCCACAAACGATTGCGCATGAAGCAGCTGTCAGTTGATCTGTATTGATCAGAGGGAGGACATACACAGAATCCTGTCCCCTTTGGGCCAGGGTCCTGTTCAGGGCCACTGCAGCTGTCGGTGCCAAAGAGTCGTGAATGCTGGAGTTGTGGCGCTGGCTGCAGGGTCCCCAAGACCACCCAGCGCATGGCTGAGGGACCCCAGGAGGCTTCATTCTGCTGCATTCGGAGACGGTTTTGTCCGGGTTTGGCCCAGAGTGTCCCGATTGGCAGCTGTTCGATGTTAGCTCCGGGGTCAAATCACGGGACTGTGCCATTGTATGCCTTCCTTAGAGTGGGGTCACTGAAAGAGGCCTACTGTTTATGGTACATAAAATATGCAGGACACCCCAATTTTAACGGGGAGCTGGGCAGGGCAATTGGCAAAGAGCAACAGACACTTTGTGGACCTTTCAGGGTACAGAGGGATGTGTAAGTGTTTGCTGGGTTAGGTCCCTTTCTGTTTCCTGGTAAGAGAGCTTGTCTCACGCGAAGGTCTGACTACAGCAAATCTTTTAGCAGCCCCCCACCCACTTTTTAATTTTTCTTTTTATTCCTGTGAAGCATTTTGCTCGGTTTTTGGAGAAGCCTCATCTCTTCCCCCCTTTAATTTTTACGCAAAGGCGTGTGCCAGTTTGGATGCATTCCAAATGCAATTAATTTCCTTTTTTGCTCCTGCCTGGGAGTGGCTGAGCTCCCTCTGGATGGCTGACCGAGGTTTTTTTGATGGGTCTTGCGGTTGCAAATATCAATTATGCATGTGGGCTGACATTTCCGGATGGGAATCGCAAAGGGAGCCGTCTGGGCTTCTCTGCGCGGAGGCCGAGAGCGGAGCTGCTGCGTAAGGGATCTCTGATCCCTCCATTGCCACCGGATTCCCTTCCCAGTCCAGGGGGGTGTTTGGCCTTTGCTCTGCTTCCCCTCGAGCAAGCGGGCAGCATGGTGTGCTCTTCGTGCTTCAAAATGTGTTTGTGTTTGATATCATTCATAGAAGTGAAGGGCTGGAAGGGACCTCCAGGGGCCATGTAGTCTAACCCTCCAATGCAGGAATCGCAGCTAAAGATTCCCTAACAAATTGCCATCCAGCCTCCAAGGAAGGAGAGTCCTCCACCTCCCAAGGAAGTCTGTTCAAACGGCTCTTACCATCAGAAAGTTCTTCCTGATGTTGAGTCGGAATCTCCTCTCCTGCAACTTGAAGCCATGGGTTCGAGTCCTGACCTCCAGAGCAGGAGAAAACAAGCTTGTTCCCTCTTCCCTGTGACAACCCTTGAGATATTTGAAGATGGCTCTCAGATCTCCTCTCAGTCTCTTCTACAGATTAACATACCTTCAACCATTCCTCATCTGGCTTGGTTTCCAGACCCTTGATCATTTTGGTCGCCCTCCACAGCACACATTCCAGCTTGTCAACATCCAACTCCTCGAAAAATTCCATTTGTCTCCGAAAATTTTTACACATTACTTGGGAAGACAGGTGAACTAATACCAGTGTACTGGATGAAGCAAAGATGACCAGTGTTGAAGCAATGATTCTTCAACATCAACTTCGTTGGACTGGTCATGTTGTGTGGATGCCTGATGATCGTCTTCCGAAGCAACTCCTCTATTCCAAACTTAAAAATGGAAAGCGTAATGCTGGTGGTCAACAAAAGAGGTTTAAAGACTGTCTCAAGGCAAATCTAAAAAAATGTAGTATAAACACCAACAATTGGGAAACACTGGCCTGTGAGTGCTCCAGTTGGAGAACAGCCTTTCCCAAAGGTGTCATGGGCTTTGAAGACACTCGAACTCAGGACGCAAGGGAGAAACGTGCTAGGAGGAAGGCACGCTTGGCAAACCTTCATTGTGATCAGCTCCCACCCAGAAACCAATGTCCCCACTGTGAAAGGACGTGTGGATCCAGAATTGGCCTCCACAGTCACTTACGGACTCATTGTTAAAACCGTGTTTATGGAAGACAATCTTACTCGGCTACAAGGGATTGCAGAAGAAGAAGAAGAAATTGTGGTGCCCAGAAGTGGACGCAGGCCTCCAGGTGTGGCCAGACCAAGACAGAAGAGAGAAGTACCACATTGCCTTGATCTGGTCACTCGACTTGATGCTGACCAGAGCTGCCTTCCTGGCCCACCCCTCACATCCCACCTGCCTTATTATACAGCCCTGCTCACCTGCATGCACAAGGCGTGGGGGGCTCAATTTAGCATCTCCCCCCCCCACCAACCCTGCGGGGTTCAAAATGAGCCGGGCATATTTTGCACTTGGCTCTCGGTCCCTTGTGACCAAGGGAAGATGCCCGGCTGCCAGGATAGCGCCTGATATCTCTGCCGTATCTGGAGGTGCATGCCTGGGGATCCTCGGATCGGGGTCGTTTTCACACCCTGTAGAATTATGTTAAGTTAACCCTGTTAAGTTTTATCTGCGCCGTCGGAATGAATTTCTGAAACCAAAATTCTTTTTCTGGGCAAGCTGAGCAGGAGCAGCGAACAACATTGCAATGAATTGTTGTCGCTTCCCTCCGCTGACAGTTTTGAAGGATATTCCCACGTTATGGATGGTCAGTGTCACCATTAAGAGAAAGAGTCAATCAATCTTTTGAAAAATGAGACTTTGGCTCCCAGTATGTTTCTGAGCACAATTCAAAGTGTTGGTGCTGACCTCTAAAGCCCTAAACGGCCTCAGTCCTGTATACCTGAGGGAACGTCTCCACCCCCACCTCACAAATTCGATACCAATAAACAAGGGAGTGCGCCAAGGATGTATATTGGCCCCCTGCCTATTCAATCTATTCATCAGCGACATGCGAGCACCCCTAGTCAACTCATCTCCAAGTACACATGCGCCTAGACTAGCGGATTACCGCTGTCCACTCCTTTTATATGCGGACGACGCGGTAATTCTATCTTATACACGTGTTGGACTAACCAGAGCTCTGAAGATCTTTGCCACGTATTGTCAACTCAACCAATTAACCATCAATCATGCTAAATCTAAGATTCTGATTTTCGCCAGAAGTCGGAGATTATACGAATGGAAGCTTGGTGGAGCAAAAATAGAGCAAGTCCTAAAATTTCAATACCTAGGAGTTATTTTTCAATACAATTTGGGGTGGAAAGCACATATTCAACACCTACTTAATAAGGCCAAAACTCTGTCATATGCGCTCCTCCGATTTTTCTTTTCGGATGGAGCTTTGCATGTTCCCTCGGCCCTAAAGGTGTTCAAGGCAAAAGTGGTTCCCGTGCTTGCTTATGCTGCCCCGCTCTGGGTCGTGATGACAGACCTTGCTCCTCTTGAGACTTTGCAAAACCAATTCCTACGTCGGCTCCTAATGCTCCCCCTGTGCGTAAGCAACGCAGCCATGCGTTTAGAATTGAGGATCGCATCCTTAGAAACCTGCCTGTGGAAGCAAGTCTTCAATTATTGGTTATCATTGTGGCACAGATTACCTGACCATTACCTTGCCCAATGCTTATGGCGAGATGAATTCCCCAGCCTTTGGACCAGTAGAATTCATGCCAAACTCCTGAGCTATGGAATCTCTCCCTTAGATTCCCTAAAACTAGATCAAATCACTGCTCAAAGACTGATCCGCCAAAGACTGGATGACATCGATTTACAGCAAAATTATATGCTGGGGGGAGGTGTTTGTTCGCCCCAGAACATTGGTATCACTTTAACTTATTGCGTTCCATCATACCTCTCCTCCCTTTCGACTGTTGCCCATAGGCTGGCCTTCACCAAAGCGAGGTTTAATGTTTTCCCTCCAATGTCCTGAGACATAGATTCTCAAAGGGCCAAACCTCCGCCATGTGCGAATGTGATAAGGAGATGCCGGAGTCGCTTCAGCACATTATGTTCACTTGCCCCTTATTTAAGGTGCCACGGGCAAACTTGTTGGGATCAATCATACAGAAATTAGAGGGTACTCCACCAAAATTCCACCTTGCCCAAATCTTGCAGGATAAGGATGCCCATACGACCCTGAAAGTGGCTAGGTTCCTGGTCGCTGTCCTTACCCAAAGCGTCGCCAAGGAGCACCACAAGCTAATTAAGGCGTAGTATGCCATTCCATCTTATAGTAGCTTATTGTTATAGTATTGTTTTAGCGGCTGTTTTTTTCCCATGTGCACAGGCTGTTATTTATGTCTTGTTTTTATCTGTATGGGCCTACGGCCGTAATAAATTATTATTATTATTATTATTATTATTATTATTGTCTCCACCCCCATCGTCCAGCCCGGACACTGAGGTCCAGCTCCGAGGGCCTTCTGGCGGTTCCCTCCCTGCGAGAAGTGAGGTTGCAGGGAACCAGGCAGAGGGCCTTCTTGGTGGTGGCGCCCGCCCTGTGGAACGCCCTCCCATCAGATGTCAAGGAAATAAACTACCATCAGACTTTCAGAAGACATCTGAAGGCAGCCCTGTTTAGGGAAGCTTTTAATGTTTGCTGTTTTATTGTGTTTTTAATATTCTGTTGGGAGTCGCCCAGAGATGGGTGGGATATAAATTATTACTATTATTATTAATAGTTGTTGTTGTTGTTATTATCTGGTCTGGCCTTGGTTGAATTCTGTCCATTGGGGGCAGAAAATATTGACAGTGCTGGGGGGGAGGAGCTCCTGTGCTCCAGCTTTCAGCCCCCTGATCCTCTGACCCCTCCTTTCTCCCCCAGTCAAAATAGGGCCGGCTGCCCTGGGCCTCCCTCTCTAAGCCCCATTACTCACGCCGGCTGGCCATGAATGGCTTTGCATCGGTTGCCGTGGGGCCCCTCCAGACCCTTTTGTTTTTTGGGGGGTGGGGTGGGGGCAGAGGCTGCCAGGGAAAGAATCCCTGAATTAACACGTGGGGTTTGGCTTTGGGGAGTCCACCCACCCTGGGGTCTCGAGCCTAAGCACACACCCCGTTCTCTCCTGGAGCAGCCACGCTTCTAGGTGCCCCCCTCTTGCCCCCGGGGGGTGCGATGCCCCTCCTGGGGTGCCCTCTTTCAATCCACAGCAGAGGGGGCTGTCGAAGGCTCCAGCCGCAATGGCTCCTCATCATCACTTTTAATTTGTATAGCGTCTTTCTATCTTGCAATACTCAAGGCGGTTTACAAGCTGAAGAAACAAAAAATGTACCGTATTTTTCGCTCTTTAAGACGCACCAGACCATAAGACGCACCTAGTTTTTGGAGGAGGAAAACAAGAAAAAAAATATTCTGAATCCCAGAAGCCAGAACAGCAAGAAGGATCGCTGCGCAGAGAAAGCAGTGATCCCTCTTGCTGTTCTGGCTTCTGGGATAGCTGCGCAGCCTGCATTCGCTCCATAAGACGCACACACAATTCCCCTTGCTTTTTAGGAGGGGAAAAGTGAGTCTTATAGAGCAAAAAATACGGTACGTCTTATAACAATCCAATGCAATACAAAAACGTGATAATAAAGCATAACTTTAAAAAAGGCAGCCTACATCAAAAAAGTCACATTCCGCAGCGGAGAGGGTTCCTGAAGGCTCTGCCCTGCGCAGTTGGAAGCAGTGGATGCCTCCGGGGGCCGGAAAGGGCAGGACCCCCCGCGGGGAGAGGGCTGCTCTCGCACTCGGATCCTGCTTGCGGGGCTCCCATGACGGGCCTCTGGTGGGTCACTATGAGAAAAGGGTGCTGGGCCAGATGGGCGCCTTTGGGCCTGATCCTGCCCCAGTGCTTCCCATGCTCTTATGTCTTTTATTATTATTGTTAAGTTTATTTTACAACACATATACACACACAGCCATAAAACTAAACATCAAAGTAATAATACACAATCAAACAACAAACAGCAAGCAAATGAATACAAATAAAACATAATGACATACAGAAACTTACACAGATCAAATAGTCAACAATGTGTGTGTGTGTGTGTGTGTGTGTGTGTGTGTATAATTTCAATTCTTCTTTTCTGCCAATTGACTTCCTTCATCCTCAACACGGTTCTCTTTTCGTTTTTGGTAAACTGTTTCCTTCTTAGTTCATTATTACCCCATTTTCTTTCTGTTTTTAGCTTTTATACCATAATACAGTGGTACCTCGGGTTACGTACTTAATTCGTTCTGGAGGTCCGTTCTTAACCTGAAACTGTTCTTGACCTGAAGCACCACTTTAGCTAATGGGGCCTCCGGCTGCTGCCGTGCCACCGGAGCACGATTTCTGTTCTCATCCTGAAGCAAAGTTCTTAACCTGAAGCACTATTTCTGGGTTAGCAGAGTCTGTAACCTGAAGCGTCTGTAACCTGAAGCGTATGTAACCTGAGGTACCACTGCGTCCCAATTATGATGTACCATAATTGGGACACAGGTGGCACTGTGTGTTAAACCACAGAGCCTAGGACTTGCCGATTGGAAGGTCGGCGGTTCAAATCCCCGCGACGGGGTGAGCTCCCGTCACTCGGTCCCTGCTCCTGCCAACCTAGCAGTTCGAAAGCACATCAAAGTGCAAGTAGATAAATAGGTACCACTCCAGCGGGAAGGTAAACAGCGTTTCCGTGCGCTGCTCTGGTTCGCCAGAAGCGGCTTAGTCCTGCTGGCCACATGACCCGGAAGCTGTACGCCGGCTCCCTTGGCCAATAGAGCGAGATGAGTGCCGCAACCCCAGAGTTGGCCACGACTGGACCTAATGGTCAGGGGTCCCTTTACCTTTTACCTAAAACATGCCATATTACTTATTATCAGGATTGATTAGAATAGAAATAGCATTTATGGGCAGTACATTCATCTTGTATTTGTATTTGGTTTGAGCAACAGTCTGGAGGCAGAATTAAAGAGAATCAGACCTTGAAGGCCAGCACGTGGGAAGCCACACAAAATTTATAATTGTTGTGTTTGAATTGGTATTGCTATTTGGTATTAATATAATATGGTGCATATTGGATTTTTGTATAGTCGTACCTCGGGTTACAGACGCTTTAGGTTGTGCGATTTCAGGTTGCGCACCGCGCCGAACCCGGAAGTACCGTAACGGTTACTTCCGGGTTTCGGTGCATGCGCAGAAGTGCTAAATCACCTTTTGCGCATGTGCAGAAGCGCCGATTGCAACCCGTGCATGCACAGACGCGCGGGTCACGGGTTGCGAACGCTGCGGGTTGCGAACGTGCTTCCCGCACGGATCACGTTTGCAACCCGAGCGTCCACTGTAATTGAAAATAAATAAAAATTATTTAACTAAAAAAAGAAAAGATTGGTAGAGGTGGGTGGGGCCCCTGGAGGTCATGCATTCCAACCCGCCGTGATGCACGAATTGCCGCTAACTGCCGTCCGTTCCTTTCTCCTCAGTGACTTCCTGATCCTCCCAGGCTTCATCGACTTCACGGCGGACGAGGTGGTGAGTTCGAGTTCCCCACGGGGCAGCGCCGTTTGCCGGGTGGGGCTGCCTGAGGGGTCCCAGGGGGCTGAGTCTTTCAGCTGCTCCCCTCTCCCTTTGGTGGGTGTTGCAGGGGGGCTTTTCCCCAGCCGGTCACCTGAGACCCCCCCCTTTATGAGCTGCAGAGCAGCACAAATATACAAGCCATTCGCTCCCCTCTCTAAATTCCCCAGCCATCCCTCTTCCCATGTGGGTCACGACGCCCCCTAACCTTTCCCTTCCTTCCCAAAGAAATGAGCCCCCTGGTGTAGGTGTTGGGAATTATTTTGCTCTTCACTCGTTTGCAATATTTTATGGTTTTACTATATGGTTTTCATAGAATCGTAGAGTTGGACGGGGCCCTCCAAGGGTCAGCCAGCCCAACCCCCTCCAATGCAGGAATCTCCACTAAAGCATCCCTGGCAAAAGATGCCCATCCAAGCTCTGCTGGAAAACCTCCAAGGAAGGAGAGTCAGATGGCTCCTTTGTGATTAATAATAATAATAATAATAATAATATACCCTGTCCATCTGGCTGGGTTTCCCCAGCCACTCTGGGCAGCTCCCAACAGAATACTAAAAACTCGATAAAAATATTAAAAACTCGATAAAATTATTAAAAACTCGTTGAAATTATTAAAAACTCGTTGAAATTATTAAAAACTCGATAAAATTATTAAAAACACGATACAAATATTAAAACACGATATTGTTGTACATTCTGTGATCCAGCGGTATATGTTATTTTTTTATATAAATAGGCAAACTTTCTTTTTCTAAAAAAAAAAGCAGCAACAGGCTTCGAATTCACCATAAAAGGGGGGCCGTATACCTGGCCCCCGCAGGGTTTGCCTTGCGCCTCTCCCCACCTGACCTCCAGCTGTGCTGCCCAGGGCTGGGCCCTCAAAACATCTGGGAGGGGGCGCTGGTTTGGGGAGTGCTGGCGTGGTGCAGCCTATGCGGGGGGGGGGGGCTGCCGGCCCTGCGGAGATAATCTCGTCAAGACTAATTAGGCCAAATGGAGTCGGCGCCTAATTGGCCGGCCGGGATGGTGAAGGTCAGGCGGCCGGCCGAGGCGAGAAACGCTGGGGGGTGGAGCCCTCTCCTTCACGGTACTACAGTTCCCAACGACCCCGGGAAACTAGGATTCTTTGCAAGGGACGAAATGAGAGACGTCTCCAGGTGGGAATTCTTCAAGGAATATTTCAAAAGCAGTTGCTGCAATCTCAGTACAGCAGCCACCTTGGAATAACTTCGGTAGATACTATATGTTAAGAAAAATAGATAGGAACAGTCTTACTGAACAGGCAGTCCTGTTCAGGGAAGTTTTTAACGTGTGACATTTTAATGTATTTTTAGTCTTTGTTTGTTGGAAACCACTCAGAGTGGCTGGGGTACAAATAATAAATTATTATTATTATTATTATTATTATTATTACTCTTGTAATAATAAAACAGACAAGTTTAATCAATGAGTTTATTAATATGGGGGGAATTGGACGGGATGGGAAGTCATATGTCTATGGAGAAAATTTATCGTTTGAAAACACACACCCTTTTTGTGTGTGATAGTTTTTGCGCACCCCCAGCATGGCCAAACTCAGCCCTCCAGATGTTTTGGGACTACAACTCCCATCATCCCTGACCACTGGTCCCGTTAGCTAGGGATGATGGGAGTTGTAGTCCCAAAACATCTGGAGGACTGAATTTGGCCATGCCTCCCCATAAACTCATCCCCAGCGCATTCAAAAAGCATTATTCAGATCAGCGGTTCACACGACCTACTAAGGAGAATAACCACACAATTAAAAAAAAATAAAAAATGAGTTTCCCCTTTCTTCAGAGCCCAATGGAAACTATTTAGTGCAATGAATTTGACAGAACAGATGAACTTTATCCAGGGATATCGGTTTTTCAAAGTCAGAAAGTCATCGAAAACTTCAGGGAAGTTTTTAATGTGTGACATTTTAATGTATTTTTAATCTTTGTTGGAAGCCGCCCAGAGTGGCTGGGAAACCCAGCCAGATGGGCAGGGTACAAATAACAAATTATTATTATGTATTATTATATGTATATATATATGTCATTGACACCCCCTGCACCTCCCTGCCACCCCCTTGCCTCTTGCCACCCCCCGCCCACGTTCTTGCGCTGCCTTCCAGGGCGCGAGAGCGCCCGCTTGGAGAACCTCTGGTGCCGAGTGTCGCCTGGCCCTCTTGTGTCTCTTTGGGGTTTGGGGGCGCCCTGGGGGTTGGGCCGGATGAGCCTTGGGGTCTCTTCCATCCCTCCACCCCCCTCTCCCTCCTCCGCAGGACCTGACGTCAGCCTTGACCCGCAAGATCACCCTCAAGACGCCTCTCATCTCCTCCCCGATGGACACGGTGACCGAGTCGGACATGGCCATTGCGATGGCGGTGAGTGGCCGTCCCCAGAGAGGGAAGGGCCTCCCAGGGGGTGGGGATGGTCCCCCCACTCTGTTTCCACGTCTTCCCCCAGCAAGAGCCCTGGGAGGCAGTTTTGCCCGTGGGTCTGGGGCAGTGGGGTCCAAACTTTTCCAAAGAGTTTGATGAAGTGAAGGGCCAAACAAAGGATTGAAATTGGTGACCTTTGAAGGATTTTACCCCACAGTTGGTTGTTGAGCTTTTTTTAAGTTGGTGAGGTTTATTTTAGGATTTTAGCCCAGGAAATAAACTGCCACGGGGGCTGGATTAGACCAACCGGTGGGCTGGATTAGGCCCCCCCCGAAACAGACTTTGCCTGGGGGCATTCCCACAGACACACAGATTTACTGATATGACACCCTTTCCATGGTTAAAAGGTGGCTCTGCGTGGGGAGAAAACAGCACCCGGAGCTTTGGAGTGGGGTGGGGAATCTGGGGGGCTGGGACCAGGAAGAATGCAGCCTCTGTGACTTTGTCCCCCCCCCCATCTCCCCCCTGCAGCTCATGGGCGGCATTGGGATCATCCATCACAACTGCACCCCGGAATTCCAGGCCAACGAGGTCCGGAAAGTCAAGGTGAGCGCCCGGATTTGGGGCTGGCGAAGGGCTCCGTATTGGGGTGGGGACAGAGCCGCGAGGCCGGCCCCGGGGTTACTTGGGGGAGCAGGCCCACTCCTCCCCCCTGGCTGGCCGAAAAAGCAAGGAAGGGTTTGTAAGATGATGCCTATCAGGGAGGAAGTGGGCAGCAGGGGAAAGTTTTCTCACGCTCTCTTTTTAAAATTAGGTTTTATAATTTTATATTCAACACAATCATCATAAACACAATTTAAAAATTCACCAACCTCCTTTTCTGATTCTTTAAATATTTGCTCCTTCTGCTTATTTTGTTTACCTTGATTTTAAAAATCTTCCAACTAAATATTCTTATATCCTTACCATTTTTATACTATATCTTTCCAAATTACTTCTTACGTTTTGTTGTTTTCCCATTCATTGCTCCTTGACTTGCACACTTCCCCTCTTAATTGTAAGTGTTTACTCAAACCCCGCTAGTGAGGGTTTCTTTACAGTATTCCTGCAAGCACATCGTAAACAGTTCCCAGTCTTCTAAAAAGTCTTTATTTTCCTTGCCTCTGAGTTTTCCCATAAGCTTCGCCATTTTGGCGTAGTCCACAAGTTTCGCTTGCCATTCTTCTTTCGCTGGCATCTTGCCATCCTCCCATTTCTGGCTAGTAAAATCCTAGCCACTCTCTTAAAACGCCAGAATTTGCAGGCTTCCGATGTATCTGAGGGCTGGAAGGTTCAGGGCAGGTAAAAGAAAGCCCTTTTTCGCGGAGCAGAGTTGAACTGCGGAACTCCTTGCTGAAGGATGGCTTTAAAAGAGGACTGGACACATTTATGGAGGAAGGCAGGGTGGGCTTGAGGTGTTTCCTGGTGCCACCCCAGTTTATCCCAGATTGCAGGAGATTCTCCTGGCACAGGAATTGGCAAGGTTTACGATACGATACGATAATCTTTATTGTCATTGTCCCATACAGAACAACGAAATTGGAAAAGAAAAATCTACATAAGACATTCAAAACCAACAAGCCTGCTATCCCAGCTATCCCAACCTGGTTAGCCCCCTAAAAACTCTGATACCCCATTTTTAAATACAGTATACTCCCATAGATAAAGGTAAAGGGACCCCTGACCATTAGGTCCAGTCGTGACCGACTCTGGGGTTGCGGCGCTCATCTCGCTTTATTGGCCAAGGGAGCCAGTGTACAGCTTCCGGGTCATGTGGCCAGCAGGACTAAGCCGCTTCTGGCGAACCAGAGCAGCGCACGGAAACGCCGTTTACCTTTCCGCCAGAGCGCTACCTATTTATCTACGTGCACTTTGATGTGCTTTCGAACTGCTAGGTTGGCAGGAGCAGGGACCAAGTAACGGGAGCTCACCCTGTCGCGGGGATTCGAACTGCCAACCTCCTGATCGGGCAAGCCCTAGACTCTGTGGTTTAACCCTCAGCGCCACCCCCGTCTAAAGACTACCTTGCACTGTGTTTAAAATCAAAATTGCATTTGGATAGAAACTGTTTCTCAGGTGGCTAGTCCTAGTCTTTATAACTCTATACCTTCTTCCAGAAGGCAGAAGCTGAAAGAGATCATTTCCGGGGTGCTCACTATCCTGCGCTATCTCTGCAGCTTTCTTCTGGCACCTGGAAGCATAGATTTGATCCAAGGTGGGAAGAGTGCGCCCAATTATTCTCTCCTCTCTCTGCAGAAATTTGAGCAGGGCTTCATCACGGACCCGGTGGTGCTGAGCCCTGCGCACACGGTGGGCGACGTCTTCGAGGCCAAGATCCGGCACGGCTTCTCGGGTATCCCGGTCACCGAGACGGGCAAGATGGGCAGCAAGCTGGTGGGCATCGTCACCTCCCGGGACATCGACTTCCTTTCCGAGAAGGATTACAGCATCGCGCTCAGCGAGGTAGGACCCGCGGCGCCCGCCTCCCTTGGCAGCAGCCAAGACGGAAGGGAAGGAACGGGCATAGAGCTGGGAGGGAACCGCAGGGGTCATCCAGTCCAACCCTCTGCAATGTGGGTCTGGGGGAAAGAGGGCACAGCTGCCGAAAAAAGGCTCTCTCTTGAATTTCTGCCACTGCCGCTCACGTCCGCCTTGAATTCGTGGGATGGTCTCCCGTCTCCTGCCCAATTCAAATGCCACCCCTTGTGCCTTCCTCCATCCTCTGAGAAGATTCAGGAAAGAGAAAGAAAGTCTTTCTTCATAATATTAATATTAGAATACTAATTTATTATTTGTACCTCAGCCATCTGACTAGCCATTTGGGTGGCTTCCCACAAAATATTAAAAACACAATAAAACATCAGGCATTAAAAGCTTCCCTAAACAGGGTTGCCTTCAGATATCTTCTAAAGTCAGATAGCTGTTTATTTCCTTGACATCTAGTGGGAGGGCGTTCCACAGGGCAAGTGCCACCACCAAGAAGGCCCTCTGCCTGGTTCCCTGTAGTTTCATGTCTCACAGTGAGGGAACCACCAGAAGGCCCTCGGACCTGGACCTCAGGATCCAGGCTGAGCGATGGGGGTGGAGACACTCCTTCAGGTCTACTGGGCTGAGGCCATTTAGGGCTTTCAAGGTCAGCACCAACCCTTTGAATTGTACTCAGAAACGGACTGGGAGCCAGTGTAGGTCTTTCAGGACGGGTGTTATGTGGTCCCGGCGAACGCTCCCAGTCCCCAGTCTGGCTGCCACATTCTGAATCATAGAATCATAGAATCCTAGAGTTGGAAGAGACCCCAAGGGCCATCGAGTCCAACCCCCTGCCAAGCAGGAAACACCATCAGAGCACTCCTGACATATGGTTGTCAAGCCTCTGCTTAAAGACCTCCAAAGAAGGAGACTCCACCACACTCCTTGGCAGCAAATTCCACTGTCAAACAGCTCTTACTGTCAGGAAGTTCTTCCTAATGTTTAGGTGGAATCTTCTTTCTTGTAGTTTGGATCCATTGCTCCGTGTCCGCTTCTCTGGAGCAGCAGAAAACAACCTTTCTCCCTCCTCTATGTGACATCCTTTTATATATTTGAACATGGCTATCATATTAGTTGCAGTGTGTTGGGAGATGCATAGGGAAGTTTCTCAAACTATACCTGGAATGGAGGCACGGCACATAGTCCAACTGTGGAATTCCCTCCCACTTGAGGCCGTGAGGGCCACCAGCCGAGAGGCCTTGAGAGGAAGGTCAGGCATGATCACTTTGACATGCTTTCGAACTGCTAGGTTGGCAGGAGCAGGGACCAAGCAACGGGAGCTCACCCCGTCGCGGGGATTTGAACCGCCAACCTTCGGATCGGCAAGCCCAAGAGGCTCTGTGGTTTAGATCACAGTGCCACCCGCATCCAGGAGGTCTAGAGGCACCCCCAAAATGCCCGGTCCCAGTTTTCCTGGGGTGGCCAAACTGGCTCTGTGTGTGTTTGGGGCCAGTTCACCCGAGTCTGCCCCCTTTCCTGCCCCCCACGCAGGTCATGACGAAGCGCAATGACCTGGTGGTGGCCCCTGCCGGAGTCACGCTGAAAGAAGCCAACGAGATCCTTCAGAGGAGCAAAAAGGTATGCGGGGGGTGGGGGTAACCCTTTCCCCCCATGGACCCCTAAGACTGGCGTTGCTCTGCCCTCCTCAGCTGGAGCCGGTAATCTAGGCCGGTTCCGCTTCAGGAATTAGAGCAGAACCTCCACCCCCTGGGGCAGTCTACCTTTGGATACCAGGCGGTGGGGAGCCAGAGTCAGGCCCACTTGCGGTTCTCCCCCCTGGTTGGCCGCTGCCAGAGCAGGGTGCTGGGCGGTTTTTTTATATATAATATTTTTTATTAATTTTAACATATAAATTATAAAATGTACCACAAAACTTATCACTTATACAATCTTTTTGGACTTCCATCAGCACCTCTGATGATCCACCGTTTCACCACTTCTTATGCATTTCTTAACTTTATATTGCCTTTACATCTCTTAACAAATCATCCTCCCCTTGTCCATTTTTACAATACTTCCAATAATACTCCTCACAAAACTTCTTGCAACCCTACAAACGTCATCTGTTCTTCACAAATACTTTTCAAATAGCCCATAAATTTACTCCAGTCTTCCGTGAATTTCTGGTTTTGCCGGTTTCAAATCCTTCCTTTTAGTTTATCTAATTCTGCATAGTCCATTAACTTCACCCTCCATTCTTCAATCGTCGGTAACTCTTCTTGGTTCCATTTTTGGCCAATGATATTCTTGCTGCTGTTATTGCATATAAGAAGAGCTTAAATTCCTTTCTATTTATGTCACTCCCCACAATGCCCAATAAAAATGCTTCTTTATAGATGTATATTTCAACATTTTTTTCAACTCCTTATATATCATCTCCCAGAAGCATTTCACCTTTTTGCATTCCCACCACATGTGATAAAATGTTCCCTCTTTTTCTGGGTGCTGGGCGGTTTTGGGCCCCCTTGGGCCCGATCCAGCCGCCAGGCTCTCAGCTGCCCTGCCTCCCTCTGCCCTCCTCCGCGCAGGGAAGCTGCCAATCGTGAACGACGTGGACGAGCTGGTGGCCATCATCGCCCGCACGGACCTGAAGAAGAACCGCGACTACCCTCTGGCCTCCAAAGACTCCCGGAAGCAGCTGCTGTGCGGGGCGGCCATTGGCACCCGGGAAGACGACAAGTACCGCCTGGACCTTCTCATGCAGGCGGGCGTCGACGTGGTCGTGCTGGTGGGTGTCCGCCTCGTCTGGCCGGAGGGCTGTGGCTCCGGGGGCAAGGATGGTCCTCTGTGCTGAATTCGCAGAGGCGCTTTTTGGGAAGGGCCGGCTCCCCCTCCGCCAGCACCCCGGTTTTGCACCTGGAAAATAAAACGAGTACAGTGGCGCCTTGGTTCTCAAACGCCTTGGAGCGCAAACACTGCAAACCCGGAAGTCAGTGTTCCAGTTTGCGAACTTTATTTGGAAGCTGAGCATGCTCCATTTTGAGTGCCGCACTTAGATTTTGAGTCGAAACAAAACAAAACAAATAAAATTAAATTAAAAAATTCCTTCCAACAGCACCTTAGAGACAAACTAAGTTAGTTTTTGGTATGAGCTTTCGTGTGCATGCACACTTCTTCAGATAATTTCCATTTTGAGTGTTACGCTGAGGTCTGGCTCTTTTTGCTATTTATTTTGCGTTTTTTGTCTTTGCGGCTCTTTTTTGTTTCGTTTCTGCGACTGTGTGGAACCCAGTTCAGCTCCTGACGGACTGACTGTGTGACTGCAATACATTGTTTATTGCTTTCATTTTATGGATCAATGGTCTTGTTAGATAGTAAAATTCATGTTCAACGGCTGTTTTGGGGTTGTTTCTAAAAGTCTGGAACGGATTAATCCATTTTGCATTGCTTCCTATGGGAAAGCGCGCCTTGGTTTTGGAACCCTTTGGTTTTCGAAAGGACTTCCAGAACGGATTACCATATATACTCGAGTATAAGCCGACCCGAATATAAGCCGGGGCACCTAATTTTAGCACAAAAAACCTGGGGAAATTATTGGCTCGAGTATAAGCCGGTTCACCACACCACAAACCTGGTGGTGGCGGCAAAGGTGGCGGAGGAGGAAGGAGCAGCTTGAAAGGGCTCCTTTTGGGCTGCTCGTCTCTCTGCCACCGCCTCTGCCACTCGCAAGAGCAGGCATAGGAGCACTGCGCCTCTCCCAACCGCGGCTCCTGTGCCTGCTGCCCTTGCGAGAGGCAGGTGGCGGGACCAGTGGCTCCTTTCTCGTCGCTCGTCCCTCCGCCGCCACCCGCCTCACTTGAGTATAAGCCGAGGGGGGCTTTTTCAGCATAAAATATGCTGGAAAATTTGGCTTATACTCGAGTATATACAGTGGTGCCTCGCAAGACAAAATTAATCCGTTCCGCGAGTGTCTTCGTCTAGCGGTTTTTTCGTCTTGCGAAGCAACCCTATTAGCGGCTTAGCGGATTAGCGCTATTAGCGGTTTAGCGGCTATTAAAGGCTTAGCGGCTTAGCGGCTTAGCTGCTAAAAGGCTATTAGCGGCTTAGCGGCTTAGCACAAGGGGGGGGGAGCAAAAAAATATATCTCAAGGCTCGCAAGACATTTTCGTCTTGCGAAGCAAGCCCATAGGGAAATTCGTCCTGCGAAGCAGCTCAAAAATGGAAAACCCTTTCGTCTAGTGGGTTTTCCGTCTTGCGAGGCATTCGTCTTGCGGGGCACCACTGTACAGTAATTTTGAGAACCAAGGTACTTCTGTAGCTGCCTTTGCAAATTGGTGGCAGCCTATGAAATGTTAATTACATGCACCTCCCAGGAGCTTGGGGGGGTGGGCCTGATTCTGCCCTTCTCCCATTCAACCCCCACCACAACCCTGCGAGGTGGGCTGGGCGGAGGAAGGGAGCGCCTGGCCTCCGAGGCCCAGTGGGGATTCGGACCCTCGTAGAATCCTAGAACGGTAGAGTTTGGAGGGACCCCCAAAGGCCATCTAGACCAACCCCCCTGCAATGCGGGAATGTTAACAGGCTCCTCTCTTCTCTTTCCTTCCCTCCCCCCCCCCCAACTACCAAAAAAAGGACTCATCTCAGGGAAACTCCGTCTATCAGATTGGCATGATCCACTACATCAAACACAAATACCCGGATCTCCAGGTCATTGGGGGCAATGGTGAGTATCTGGATGGCCTTGGCAGGGGGACAGGATCCCCCCCCCCCAGAACACTGTTCTCCCCCCCCCCCTTGGGGTGGTTGGGTGGGGAGCTTCAGCCGAGGTAATGAAGCCTGTTTTGTTTTGCTCATTGGGTCAAATTTACAGAGGGGCGGGGGAAATAAAGGAGGAAATCGGTGAAACAGAGAGGTTCACCTGCAGCCCTGTTTACTCGCGAGTAAGCCCCAGGGACTTCAGTGGGGTTTGCTTCTGAAAATAAGGATAATAATTTTATTTTTATTTTTTATGGTTATACATTCAGATACATATTTTTTCCTTTTTTCCCTTTTTTCCCCCAAAATCAGTAAAACTTTATTCTATTTCCATTCTTCGCCGTTAACAGAGAAATTGGAGAAAGCAGTGTTTGTTTTACAAAGACAATGCGTCTCCCAGAGGAGAAAAACCCTAACTTGAGAATAGAGGTAACATGGAGGGAAAACCACAATACTGCCCTCAATTCAAAGAAAATAACTCCTCATCTTTTTGGTTACCTAGAGCAATCATTATATTTTTTCATTCTTTAGCATACCTTCCAAGTTATACAATATATAATATAAGCATCTCTTTTTAATTACATGTTTTTACCTTATTCCTACCCCTATGATTTCCCTCCACCTTAGCTCAGCTAAAGTATTATAAATATTGTTTCCATATCCCTCCTTAACCATCTTTCCATATTTTATCCTTAACTTTACAAACTTCAGTCAACACATATTGCTACTATGGTTTCTGAACGACATTTCGTCATACATTCTTCCACACATTCCCATTCTTTCTTCAGTGTCAGGTCCGATTGGAATCTGATAGCTGCTAGAATACCAATAGCTAAAAATGGGAAAGGGGACGTTGTCCCCTCAGTAGCGGAGCAGCAAAACGAACCTTGTGAATTTATAGAGTTGGCCATATGTTTATTATTCCTATTCCCTAGCCGCTTCTGAGTAGACCTGCAAGCGTAGAGCTGGACAGGGACACTCCAAAGGCCATCTAGCCCACCCCCCCCAGCCGGCCAGGTATTTCACAGGTGCCTTTGCTTTCTCCCCTATTGGATGCACAGTGGTGACAGCAGCGCAGGCCAAGAACCTCATCGACGCTGGCGTGGACGCCCTCCGGGTGGGCATGGGCTGTGGCTCCATCTGCATCACACAGGAAGGTGAGTCCCGGCTGGGAGCGGGTTCGAAGGTTACCGAGAGAGGGAGGGAAGCTCCCAAATGCTGCGCTCTTTGAAAATATATATACTGTATTTTTCGCTCTATAAGACGCACCTTTTCCCTCCTAAACAGTAAGGGGAAATGTGTGTGCGTCTTATGGAGCGAATGCAGGCTGCGCAGCTATCCCAGAAGCCAGAACAGCAAGAGGGATTGCTGCGCAGTGATCCCTCTTGCTGTTCTGGCTTCTGGGATCAAGAATATATTTTTTCTTGTTTTCCTCCTCCAAAAACTAGGTGCGTCTTATGGTCTGGTGCGTCTTATAGAGCGAAAAATACTATCTTAGCTAGCTATAGTTACAATTTTGTCATCACCACAGCCATTTTATTTCTAATGTTTAATATTTAATATTAACATTTAATGCTGTACTGTTTTAACACTTGATTGGGAGCCGCCCAGAGTGGCTGGGGAAACTCAGCCAGATGGGCGGGGTATGAATAATAAATTATTATTATTATTATTATTATTATTATTATTATTATTTATTATATTGCTTCAAAAAAACCAAAATATAATATACCGTATTTTTTGCACCATAACACTCACTTTTTTCCCCCTAGAAAGTAAGGGGACAGGTCTGTGCGTGTTAGGGAGGGAATGCCTTCGGGTGGCGGGGGGGGTCTGCTGCAGTCGTGAGCAGAGGATCCATGGTTCCGCTTCCTTCCCTCCTCCGTGGTTACAAAGCATGGATCCACATGGATCCTCAGGATTTTTGCATTGGGCTACTCCAAACTCACTGTCAGATCACATGTCTGCGGCCACAGCATGAACCACAAAAATCATACATCCGCTGTTTCGTTTAGAATATTTTTTTTCTTGTTTTCCTCCTCTAAAAACTATGTGCGTGTTATGGTCTGGTGCGTGTTATAGAGCGAAAAATACGGTAGATCCCCAAACCACCCCCCACCATGACTTCCTTTTCTGGGTTTTGGGCATATTATCTCTCCCTGCTTATTGGTTATTTCATATTCTTTAATTTTTTTTTTAAAAAAAATTATTATTCTCCTATCCTTTTAACGTGGTGTTTCTATTTCTGCATTTGTTTTGTTAATTGCAAGTGTTTAATCAAACCCCGCAAGCGAGTCCATTTCTTTACGTTGATTCTGCAGATAGGACATAAACGGTTCCCAGTCTTTCTTAAACTCTCTGTTGTCTTTGTCTCAAGCCTTCCAGTCATTTGCCATTTCCGCGTATTATTCCATCGCTTTCCCCTGCCATTCCTCTTTGGTTGGTATTTCAGCGCTCTTCCATCTTTGCGCTGGCAAGATCCTAGCCGCAGTTGTAGCATATACCAGCTAGACTGGTGAATGGGAGCGGCCACCAAGACCATATAACACCGGTCTTGAAAGACTTACATTGGCTCCCAGTAAGTTTCCAAGCACAATTCAAAGTGTTGATGCTGACCTTGAAAGCCCTAAATGGCCTCAAGGACCCAGTAGACCTGAAGGAGAGTCTCCACTTCCATCATTCTTCCCGGACACTGAGGTCCAGCGCTGAGGGCCTTCTGGCGGTTCCCTCCCTGCAAGAAGCCAAGTTACAGGGAACCAGGCAGAGGGCCTTCTCGGTGGTGGCACTCGCCCTGTGGAACACCCTCCCAGCAGATGTCAAAGAGTAAAACAACTACCAAACTTTTAGAAGACATCTGAAGGCTGGAAGCCCTGTTCAGGGAAGCTTTTAATGTTATTGTATTTTAGTGTTCTGTTGGAAGCCGCCCAGAGTGGCTGGGGAAACCCAGCCAGATGGACGGGGTATAAATAAATTATTATTATTATTATTATTATATATTATTATTATTATTACATGAGCGGTTTTTCCTCCAGCTGGACCCTTTCTTCATAGCTCCATCCTGTAAGCCCCAGATCCTATTTCCGTTCCCAGGGTAAGGCAATAAAAAGAGGCCACCTCTGAGCATATACAGAGGGCAGTTCCTTCAAGGCCAAGCAGCCTCCTGGGATTTGGGGAGTCTCAGATGTTTCCCTTCCTGCTTCTCCCTTCCGCATAACCTGAGCTTGCTTCTTTCCTTCTCCCTCCCCGCCCCCTTCCCTTTCGTGTCGTGTCTCGGAAACAATACAACTAAATCACTATTTAAACCGCACACCCTGGCAGCTCAGAATTTCGGGGTTCTCCGGGAGGCTGGCCCCCTGGCAGTGACGGCCCCTCTTCCTTTTCTCTCTCCTGGCCAGTGATGGCGTGCGGCCGGCCCCAGGGGACAGCGGTCTATAAAGTAGCCGAGTACGCCCGCAGGTTCGGCGTACCGGTCATTGCCGACGGCGGGATCCAAACCGTGGGCCACGTGGTCAAGGCGCTTTCTTTGGGAGCCTCGACAGGTGAGCTGGGAATCCTGTCGCCATCACCATCATCATTAATAACATTATTATTATTATTATTATATAATAATAATAATAATAAAATGCATGCTGGTGGTCTCCTCCTCCTCTGGCTGAGCAGCTAAGCAGGGAAGGAGTTGACGCCTCGCTCTGTGTCTCCGTCGCTGATGCTTGTTGATTTTTTATTTTTAACAATTCATAATAGAAAACTTGATGTAAATGGGAAAAAGAGGCAAAAACAGCTACAGAAGAGAAAGGGAAAGAGAAGAGAAGGAAGCAGGAAAGGAAAAAGAAGTCGTTAAAAAGAGGACTTCTGATTTTCCATCTGCCGGTTGTTTAAGACATTCAGTCTATGACAACATTCATCTTCTCTGCTATCTGTTAATTGATTTTTCTTTTACGTCCAGGTGTCTCAAAGGCATTCATTTCCTTTTCTCATGGAAAATCCAAGAGGGGTTCCCAAATTAGGTTTATTCTCGACAAATGTCAGGCATGTTTTTTCTTTAATGTCCCCTTGGTCCCAGTGATTCCTACCCCCAGGCCTCCAGATTGGGAATTCGTAAATTCTCCCGTCCGTGTTAAAGTCTCTCCACTGCGTATCCCCAGAATATTCCGTCGTTCTTTTCTTGTTCTGTATCCTTGAATCTGTGCCATAGCTGTCAATGTTTTCCCTTTTTTAAAGGGAAATTCCCTTATTCCGAATAGGATTCCTCGCAAGGAAGGGGAAAAGTTGACAGCTATGATCCGTGCCCTTCTCAGTCTATTCCATTTCCAGTCCCTGTTGCATTCCCATCTCCCCTGGAGGTTTTTGAGCATGGACGGCCATCTGTCATGGATGCACTAGCTGAGAAGGGGGTCAGAATGGATGACCTAGGGCAGCAGTGCCCACCAGTTTCTCCAGTCCTCTTCCCCAGCCGTCCGGGTTGGTGTCCCCCAGCTCCACCCTGCGCTTGGGCTCCCCCCATGCGCTCTGGCCCTGATCCCCCTTTCTCCCTCTCCCCCAGTGATGATGGGCTCCCTGCTGGCTGCCACCACGGAGGCCCCCGGCGAATACTTCTTTTCGGACGGGGTCCGGCTGAAGAAGTACCGGGGGATGGGCTCCCTCGACGCCATGGAGAAGAACAGCAGCAGCCAGAAGCGCTACTTCAGGTACGGAGCGGGGCACCTGGGACAAGGGGCGGGCCGGGGGCGCACTCCTTCCTTGGCTTTGCGCAGGCCGGACGCGGGCGCATGCAAAGGGGTAGCAGCTTTGCAACACATCATTGGACATTACATACCCTTTGAATTCTGGTTCAGCTCATCGTACTTTTTATACCTTACTAATCTATACGCAAGGGACGCGGGTGGCGCTGTGGTCTATACCACTGAGCCTAGGGCTTACCAATCAGAAGCTCGGCGGTTCGAATCCCGCAATGACGGAGTGAGCTCCCGTTGCTCGGTCCCTGCTCCTGCCAACCTAGCAGTTCAAAAGCATGTCAAAGTGCAAGTAGATAAATAGGTACCGCTCCGGCAGGAAGGTAAATGGTGTTTCCATGCGCTGCTCTGGTTCGCCAGAAGTGGCTTAGTCATGCTGGCCACATGACCCGGAAGCTGTGTGCCTGCTCCCTCGGCCAATAAAGCAAGATGAGCGCCGCAACCCCAGAGTTGGCCACGACTGGACCTAATGGTCAGGGGTCCCTTTACCTTTAATCTATATGCACTTCGTTATTTATTATTCTTTTCTGTTACTTATCAATATTTTTTTTTGCTTTTATAATTTCCTTAAACTTCAAGATTCAATCCAAATCTGTCAGGAGATTTGTGTTATCACAGTGCTTTCAAATATATTCTTTGAATATTGTCCAATCTTTACTGGCTTTCTGGTTAGAGTTTCCTCTTAGTCTCCCAGTCCTCTTTGCAAGTTCTAAATATTCTATCATCTTCGCTTGCCAGTCCGTTTTTGTGAGGATTAAGTCGCCTTCCCAGTTTTTTTGCTAATCCTTGCCCCTGCGGGTGCATACATGAAAAGGGTAGCTTTTTTTGTATATCAATGGGCATCATGCCTAACGAAAAGGCTTCAGGTTTTGTTTTTTTAAAACGAGAATTTAAAGATCTTTTTGAGTTCATTATAAATTATGTCCCCAAATTTTTGTATAAGAATTAGTACAGAAGAGACCTCCCAGCATTCTCACAGGCCCATATAAGATCAGCGTACACAGTTGGGCATGAAGAGTATTTACTACTGTCCCCAACCCAACTCCTGCGGAAAGCCATCGAAATCAGATTTTAATTCTGTCCTGAATTGTTTCTAAGAGGTGATTTAATTATTGTTTGATTTTATATCAATGTTTATATTGGATGTTAGCCGCCCTGAGCCTATTCTTGGCCGGGGAGGTCCAGATACAAATAAAAGTTATTATTATTTTTATTATTATATTTGTATATACTGCCCCATCCCCACAGGTCTCAGGGCAGCTATAATGGCCGCCAGGGTGGCGTTGTGATGTGTTTGGGGTTTCCTTCCTGCATAACGCTTGGATTTGGCTAAAACCCGTGATACACAGAAGGGGGCAAGGCAAGGCTGCCCCCCCTTGACTTTGGCCCTGGAAGGGCTGCTCAGAGATCTTAGCAGAGAACGATGGAAATAAGGATTTAATCAGAGACGTACAAACTAAGGGTGTTTGCTGGCAATTCGGTGTCAGTTATGGAAAACCCACCACGAGGAGCAGGAGTCCTTATCGATAAATTAAACACTATAGTGGAACCTCTACTTAACGGACGTACTCCGTTCCGGAGCTCCGTCTGTAAGTCAATCCGGGTCGAGGCAGAAGCTCTGTTGTGTGCTGGCGCATTCGGCAGCAGCGCGCTTCTGCGCATGCACGAATTGCAGCAAACCCGGTATTTACTTCCGTGTTTGCCGCGGTCGCAACTTGGATCAGGCCCAAGTAGAGGCGGTCATAAGTAGAGGCTCTACTGTACAGTCAGACCTCGGGTTACAAACGCTTCAGGTTGCGTGTTTGTGGTGGCACACCACGCCAAACCCGGAAGTACCGGAATGGGTTACTTCCGGGTTTCGGTGCTCACGCATGCGCAGAAGCACTAAATCACGGTTTGCGCATGTGCAGAAGCGCTGAATCTCAACCTGCGCGTGCGCAGGCATGCCACTGCAGGTTGTGAACGTGCCTCCCGCACGGATCATGTTCGCAAGAAGATTGGAAAAAATTTAAAGTATATCTTCAAAAATATTGTAATATTAAAGACTGTTAGAAAGATGTTGGGAAAAGAAAATTAGGTAGTTTTGGTAGATATGATATAAAGGATTAAGCAAAAATGAGTTGATGAAATTGATGAAAGAGAGGATGTTAAATTATAATACTTTAAATTAAACTACGTAAATGAAAATAAGGTTGGAAGGATTTGCTGAAAAAACGATCTGAACTAGAATACAAAATTGGGAGGTGAGAGGAGGTCAAGGAAATAAGTAAAGGAAAAAAGTTATGTAACGGTTTAATCTGTTCTTGTTCTATTTCAATTGAATGTATTTTTATACCTTCTTCTTTTTTTTCTTTTCTTTTTTCTCTCTCTCTCTGTTATTGTTATATTCTTTTTTGTATTTTGTATTGTTCTTTTTTCTTTTTGTAACTTTAAACTTTGAATAAATATTATTATTTAAAAAAAGGATCATGTTCGCAACCTGAGTGTCCACTGTACTTAGCAATTGATAGGTATTTTTATTCTTCCAATTTTTTTTTGTTTTGCTGTTTTCTTTTCTTCTTTTCTTTTTCTCTCACTTTTCTCTCTTTTTCTCTTTTCTTTCTCTTTCTCCCTCCCTCTCTCCTTTTCTCTCTCTCTCTCTCTTCATTTATTCTCTCCAATGTTACCATATTTATATTCATATTTATATAGTTAGCTTAGATCTTACAACAATTTTATTATGTGCATTGTAGTCATTATTCCAATCTAAGAATATGCCATGTCAGACAAGCTCATTTTTTCCCCTTTGATTCCTGCTCCACCCCTTGTATGTACAGAAATTGGGGGGGGGGGGAGAGGAAAAAAAAAGAGTTTGGTACGTTAGCAGGTTTTCAGATTAGCCATCAGAAGGTTTGATGGATGGGAAGAGAGAATGTGGTTTGGCAGAAGCCAGGGGTGAACTGGGGCTCCGGAGACGGGGACAGGTGACCCACGCAGCGTCTTCTCCTTCCTTTTCAGCGAGGGAGACAAAGTCAAGGTGGCGCAAGGCGTCTCGGGCTCCATCCAGGACAAGGGCTCCATCCAGAAGTTCGTGCCCTACCTGATCGCTGGCATCCAGCACGGCTGCCAAGACATTGGCGCAAAGAGCCTCTCCATCCTGCGGTGAGTCCCTGGGGTGCCCTCTCTCTCCTCGCAGGGGGGTCCGGGACAAGGGCCGGATTGAGGTTGGATGCGGCCCTCAGCTCCTGAAGGTAACAGGGCCCTTTCCATGTCCAGCTGTCCTTTGTCCACAACAAATGGACCCTGTTTTCTGTGTCAAATAAATGCAATACAGTATGTTCATTGATGGACCTCGTAGGTATCTCAAGCCATTGGCACATCACAGAATAGGTATTTTATCAAAGTAATTGTTGAACTGAAATACAATTAAGAAGTATACTAATAGTGAAATACAATTAAGAAGAAGTACAGTGGTACCTCAGGTTACAGACGCTTCAGGTTATGCGATTTCGGGTTGCACACCGCGCTGAACCTGGAAGTACCAGAATGGGTTACTTCTGGGTTTTGGCGCATGCGCAGAAGCGCTAAATTGTGCTTTGCACATGTACCAAAGCACCGAATAGCGACCCATGCGTGCGCAGACGTGGCACTGCAGGTTGCGAACGCTGCGGGTTGCGAACGTGCCTCCTGCACGGATCACGTTCCCTACCCGAGGTTCCACTGTATATTAATCGTGCAATGATTATTGAACTCTAACTTAAAATGATTTTTTATTCATAATGAACTTAACAATGCAAACGCATTAGCATTGGGCAATGACAAAAGTTCCTTTAGAAACACAGTTTGCAAAGACTCATAATCTAGTCTCTAGAAACTTGCTATAAAGTGAAGTAATAATAGCAAACCAGGGATATTTTAGGGAGCAGGCTAGCAGGCAAGGCCCATGACTTACATCATAGGAGCCGGCACAACAGGAAACACTGTCACTGTATGTAGATTTGATTTTATTAGCTTTTTTATCTTATATTTTGGAAATCTACTTCCAGTTGTTTTCCTTTAATTTTTTTGGGGGCCCCCAAGAGAGTGGGGCCCTAAGCTACAGCTTGTTTAGCTCATACGTAAATCTGCCACTGTGCGGGACGCAGACTTTTGGAAGGGGGGCCTGGCGCCGATTCGTCTCCCCGCAGCCCCCTGCGTTGCAGTTGCCGCTCCTTCAGAAGTGGGGGGGATGTGCTAGCGGCCACTGATCGCCTTCGTACCCCATAAATTAGTCCAGTCTTCTTTTAAAACCACCCAGGTTTCTGGCCGTCGCTGCCTCCTGCAGCAGGGAGTTCCACAGTCTAGCTCTGTGCTGTAAGGGGAGAGGTGGCCCTTCTCCCTTATTCTGGCACGGGAAACTTGGAGGAGGGGTTTGACCAGGAGGGTGAAAGGGGATCCCAGGCCCCTTGTTGTGGGGTGGCTGCTCAAGCGCCGTAGGGAGAGCGCCTTCTGCCTGCTGGCAGGCTTCCCTTGAAATCTCACAATGTTTTGGCAAAGTTATTTTCCTTTCCGCGCAGAAGGTGGGCGGAAGGTGGGAATAAACGGCAGCTTTTTCTCAGCTGCCAACGCCAACCCAGCTGTCTCCCGTGCGACTCAGAGGAAACTACGTCAAATGGTTTTCCGCTGGAGAGGCAGCTTACGAGCCGCTTCTGCGTTTTTCTCCCTTTTAAAATCGCACCCGAGTCCTAGCTATTTCGGTTTGGTTATTTATAGATGGTTTTCCTTCCTTCCTTCCTTCCAACTGGATTTCCAAGAGAAGAAAAATCCCACAAAATATCCCTTAAGCCAGGCCTACGCAAACTCTGGCCTTGCAGATGTTTTGAGACTACAATTCCCATCATCCCTGACCACTGGTCCTGTTAGCTAGGGATGATGGGAATTGTAGTTCCAAAACATCTGGAGGGCCGGAGCTTGTCTATGCCTGCCTTAAGCCAACTCTGCCAAAAAGAGAACAACCGTCCTGGAGACATTGAAGGGGGGTTCGACTAGATGACCCTCGGGTCCCTTTCGTCTGCGATTCTATGATGCTGTTAAGAGAGGGGCCCTGGTGAGCCCCCTGGGTGCTGGAGATTTTGCTGGATCAGGCCCGTCTCGTCCAGCATACTGTTCCCGCAGCGGCTGACCGGATGCCCCAAATGGAAAACCCGCCAGCAGGATTCGAACACAAAGCCTCTGAGGGTCAGAACGCGAGAGGGTCTTCAAAAGTCTCCAGGGCTGGCGGCCGGTCTGTCACAGATGGACCAGGCTGTCTCTTTTAGTTTTCCAAATTGTCTTGGGGCCACAGTTCCCAGCATCCCTGACCACTGGTCCTAGAGATGATGGGAGCTGCTGGAGATCCGAGTTTCGGGTACCCTGGCTTGAAGGAAAGGCGAGCATAACAGCTGCTTCTAAAATGATGGAGGCCCTTCTCCGCGGAACTGCGGAACTCCCTGCCACTGGAGGAAAGGGTGATCGATGACTTCTAGCAAGGCTGGCTCTGCCCTGCCTCCGTGGTTAAAGACGGGGCGGTTTGGCTGTCGGGCTTTGACCAGGTGGGTCCAGGGAGTGACTGAGGCTTCCTGTTGGTGGGGGAAGTGCCGCCAAATGGTTAGAGCTGTTGGACAGTAGAAGAGGGACTGAGCTGGAGCGGTTGGGGGAGTGCACGGCAGCCTCCTCTTCACTGGGGCTGGCCAGGGACACCGCCGTCGCATCCTGAGCAGGGGTGGGGTGGACTAGATGCCCCCTGGAGACCCCCCTTCCGCCTCAGACGCTTAGCCGGCGGCATCTCCTTTGCAGGTCCATGATGTACTCCGGTGAACTGAAGTTTGAGAAGCGGACGATGTCGGCCCAGATCGAGGGGGGCGTCCACGGCCTGCACTCGTGAGTAACCCCCTTCCGCCCCCCTGAAAATCCATCGCCATCTGGGCCCCCCTTTCTGCTTTCCCCGGTGCTGCCCTCGCCTCCGTTCCTGCTCTCAAACCTCCTTCCTGCCTGAGCACAGACCCCCCCAGGCATCTCCTGCCCCCCACCCCCCTTTTCAAGGGCTTGTCTAGGGAGAGAAGGGGGCCACCCCACTGCCTGCCCCTGGCTTCCTGGAGGGCGGCCTCAGAGAGAGAGGCAGCTGCTCCCCCAGCTTCTCGGAAGGTGGGTGTTCATTTTTTTGGGGGGTTCATTTCCTCCCTCCAACCTCTTCCTGCGTTGCAGCGGGTTGGACTAGATGCCCTTCAGGTGTCCAGGGCCAAAGCCGTCTAGGGCTTTCAAGGTCAGCCCCCCCCCCACTTTGAATCATGCTTGGAAACATACTGGGAGCCGATGAAAATCCATTATGTGGTCCCAACTATACAGTGGTCCCTTGGTTCTCGGACGGCTTAGTAGTCAAACAACTTGGAACCCGAACACTGCAAACCCGGAAGTAAATGTTCCGGTTTGCAAACCTTTTTTGGAAACCAGACGTGCTCCATCTGGAGTGCCATGCTCAGGTCTATTTTAGCTCTTTATTTTGCGTTTTTGTTTCAGCGGCTTTTTCGTTTTGTTTTTGCAACTGTGTGGAACCCAGTCCAGCTCCTGATGGATTGATTGTGTGACTGCAGTACATTGTTTGTTGCTCTTGTTTTATTGATCAATGGTCTCATTAGATATAATAATAATAATAATAATAATACATAATAATAATAATTTATTATTTATACCCCACCCATCTGGCTGGTTCTCCCCAGCCACTCTGGGCGACTCCCAACAGAATATTAAAAACACAATAAAACAGCAGACATTAAAAACTTCCCTGAACAGGGCTGCCTTCGGATGTCTTCTAAAAGTCTGATAGTTGTTTTTCTCTTTGACATCTGGTGGGAGGGCGTTCCACAGGGCGGGCGCCACCACCGAGAAGGCCCTCTGCCTGGTTCCCTGTAACTTGGCTTCTCGCAGGGAGGGAACCGCCAGATGGCCCTCGGAGCTGGACCTCAGTGTCCGGGCTGAACAATAGGGGTGGAGATAGTAAAATTCATGTTCAATGGCTGTTTTGAGGGATGTTTTTAAAAGTCTGGAACGGATTAATCCGTTTTGCATGACTTTCTATGGGAAAGTGTGCCTTGCTTTTGGAACACTTCAGTTTCACAACAGACTTCCGGAACGGATTAAGTTTGAGAACCAAGGAACCACTGTATTGTAGAGCTGGAATGGATCCCAAGGGTCTTCTGGCCCAAGAAGCGCAGGGGGCCATCCTGCGGCCGTTTGAGCCAGGCTCCACCACCCATCTAGGCAGGCCCAGAGACTGAGAGCCCAAGGAGGGCATCCTTTTCTCCCTGGGGCCGACCAGATGCCCAGTGGGAAACTGGCAAGCAGAACTCGAGCCCAAGAGCACTTTCCCCCTTCAGTTTCCTGGGACCCAGGAGCAGGGCTGCCTCTCATCCGTATATGGATTTGTCCAATAGTTTAATGCCATCGCGGTCTCCTGTGGCAGGGAGTTCCGCAGGTCGGCTCTGCAGTGTGCGAAGGGTTTTCTGCGATCTGCCCTGAACCTTCCTACAAGATCGGGGACAGGTTGGTTCCTTGGAGGTGTGGGGGTCCCCCAGGATCAAACTCTGCCCGCACAGAAGCGAATCTGGGGCCAAGGCCAACCCCATCTTCCAACCCCCCACTCCCACTGCAGTGATGAGGACAGGAGGCATCTTTGGGGGGGGTGTCTCAGGCTAGGAAAGTGAGGCACCCGCTTGCTTCATGGGTTTAGCGTAAGGGTGGTGGCTGCTCACAGACCCCCCAAAGTAGCCTTTTTCCTGGCAGTTCCTGGAACCAGCTGCATAGCTGGGTCCCTCAATCGCGGAAGGACCCCCCCTGACCCCACCAAAAAAGACCTGCTCTGTGTCTTTTTCTCTGCAAGAGTTCTCTTGCTGCTGTGCTATTTGCCCCGCAAACCCAAGAAGGCTGGGCCAGTTTAATATGGACAGTGACTGAGCTGGGAATTTGGGGGGGCGGTCGCCTCCAAAGTCTGGTTTTTTTAATGGGGTGAAATTCGCAGAGCCCTGGATGCATTGGCTTTCTGGTTTGGGACTCCTCAGGTTTCTAGTCCTGGTGAGAAGTTTGGGGGGCAACCGAGGCCAGAATCACGGGGGAAGTGGTGGCCGACCTTCTCCCTGCCCCTTGGACGCCCCCCCCCAGTTCCCCACCCCCCACCCCTCTCCTCTTCCAGTCCCACGGACCTTGCCAGCAACCCTTTGGGAAAGCACAGAACTAAGAGAGTCGTGCAACTTCATGGAATCATCCCCCAAAACGAGAAGCCTTTTTCATGAGTCTGGCCGGCAGACAGCTCTTTTTTTTTTTGTGCTCCTTTTTTTTTAAAAAAAATTATTTATAAAATTTTCAAATATAACAATAAAAGAAAAACATTCAATTTGAATTATACATCCAATGCTAATCTTTCCACTTTCAGACTTCCTTCAGTCTATCTGCAAATTTTCATATTTTCACAGTTATTCACATTTCTTGCATCTGTATTGTTTTTGTTTTTTGTTTTGTTTTTAACCAAATTAATCTTAGCAATTATTATAAAACAATATTTCTTTCCATTATTATCACAAAGCTTCTTGAAAACCTACAAACGTTAATTGACCTTCACATATATTTTTAATATACTTTGTAAATTTATTCCAGTCCTCGGTAAATCTCTGGTCTCGCCGGTTCCGAATTCTCCCCGTCAGCTTGTCTAATTCTGCGTATTCCATCAACTTCATTCTCCATTCTTCTTTCGTCGGGATTTCTTCCTGTTTCCAATTTTGTGCCACCAAAATTCTTGCCGCTGTTACTGCATATAAAAACAACTTCTCATCCTTCTTTTTTATGTCATTTCTTAGTATTCCTAACAGAAAAGTTTCTGGTTTTTTAACAAAGGTATATTTCAACATTTTTTTCAATTCATTATAAATCATTTCCCAGAAACCTTTCATTTTTTTACATTCCCACCACATATGATAGAATGTTCCTTCTTTCTCCTGACATTTCCAACATTTATTACTAACTTTATACATCTTTCCAAGTTTTACTGGTATAAGATACCATCTGTATAACATTTTCATAACATTTTCTTTTATTGTAGTACATGCAGTAAATTTCATTCCTTCTTTCCACAATCTTATCCAATCATCAAATTGAATATTATAACCAAAGTCTTTGGCCCACTGAATCATTGCAACTTTAACCTCTTCATCCTTAGTATGCCACTCAAGTAATAATTTATACATTTTTGATAAAATTTTAACATCATTATTCACAATTTCTTTTTGAAATCTAGATTTTTCATCTTGAAAACCTCTTTCTAGCATCTCTTTTTTAAACATTGCATTCACTTGGAAGTAGTGTAACCAATCAAACACATATTCTTTAACTTCATCGTATGGCTTCAATTTCCATTTATTTCCTTCTTTTATAATTAAATTCTCATATGTAATCCAACTCCCCGTCATATTGATCTTCTTAACACTCATTACCTCCAATGGCGACAGCCAGAATGGAGTTTTAAACTCTAATAAATTTTTGTACCTATTCCATACTTCAATCAGCGGACCTCGGAAAATGTGATTTTCAAAACCTTTATGCACTCTTTTTTCCTCATACCATAAATATGCGTGCCAACCAAATCTATTATCATATCCTTCTAAATCCAAGAGTTCTGAATTTTCCAACTTTATCCATTCTTTCACCCAGCAAAGACATGCAGCCTCGAAATATAACTTTAGGTCTGGCAGGGCAAAGCCTCCTCTGTCTTTTGCATCCGTTAAAATCTTAAATTTTATTCTAGGCTTCTTGCCCTGCCAGACATATCTTGATAATGCTCTTTGCCATTCTTTAAATATTGTAACACCTTTAATTATTGGTATTGATTGAAATAAAAACAACATTTTTGGTTGCACATTCATTTTTACCGTTGCAATTCTTCCCCAAAATGACAACTTCATTCTTCCCCACACTTCCAGGTCCTTCCTAATCTTGTTCCAGACTGGTACATAATTATTTTGAAAAAGATCAATACACTTGGGAGTTAATATAATCCCAAGATATTTAACTTTCTTAACCACTTCCATATCTGTTTGTTGCTGAATTCTTTCTGTTATCTCTTGGTCCATATTTTTAACCATTATTTTCGTTTTATTCTTATTTAATTTGAATCCGGCAACTTGTCCGAATTGCTCTATCTCTTCTAACACTTCCTTAACACTTTTAATAGGGTCTTCTATTGTTATAACCAAATCATCAGCGAAGGCTTTTACCTTATATTCCTTACAACCAACTGTCACACCTTTTATCAAGTCATTACTTCTTAACGCTCTCAACAAGACTTCCAGGACCGATATGAATAACAATGGTGATAAGGGACACCCTTGTCTTGTACCCTTGGTTATAGCAATATCATCTGTCAGTACATTATTAACAATTAATTTTGCTCTTTGTTCAGAATATATTGCCTTTACACCATTCACAAATGAATGACCCATCTCCATAAATTCCAGATTCTTTAACATAAATTCCCAAGAAATATTATCAAATGCCTTTTCCGCATCAACAAATATCAACATCGCTTGCTTATCTTTCTTATTAGTCAGATATTCTATTATATTTATTATGTTTCTTATATTGTCTTTCATCTGCCTCCCAGGCAGGAATCCTGTTTGGTCCTTATGGATCAATTCCTTTAATATCTTTTTCATTCTGTTTGCCAAGATGTTAGCAAATATTTTATCGTCATTGTTCAATAGCGAAATTGGCCTATAGTTTTTAACTTGAGTTAAATCTGAATCCTGCTTGGGAATTAATGTTATATATGCTTCTTTCCATGTCTCTGGTATTTGTCCTTCTTTCAGAATGTTGTTCTTAACTTCTACCAACGGTACAAGTAAAATGTCTTTCATTTCTTTATAATATCTTGCACCAAATCCATCCGGTCCCGGAGTCTTCCCACTTTTTAATTCTTTTATAGCCGTTTTAACTTCTTCTATTCCAATTGGTTCATTCAATTTATTTTTATTTGTCACTGGAATTTTTTGCACCCCTTTCTTCTTTAAATAGTCTTCTATCATCTTTAGAAGCTCTTTTTTCCGAGGGTGGGCTGGGGGTCATTTTGCTGGGCCCTTCCGCTGGTGGCCCCCTTGCCAGAGAGAGGCAAAGGTCTGAACCCGACTTGGAGTGGGGCAGCCTCACGGTTGCCAGTCCAACTCCTGGCGCATCCCGGGCCGGGCACCCCACGCTCCATGCTCTCTAAAGTGCGGCGTGGCCACATTTTATGTGAGAGGTTCAGTTTCTAGGGTTCCATGTGTACCCCAAAATTGAAGAGCGGGGGGAGAGAGAGAGAAAATCCCCCGCACTCCCAGAGCCCACACGCCAAGGGTCTTTGCCAGGCAAGCAAGGCAGGCAGCTGAAAAGCTCTTTTTGTGCCAAGTCAGAAAGAGCTTTTGCACACTCTGGCGTGCTTTGGGGCAAGACCCACCGGGCGGCCAGCTCTGGGAGGCCAGGGGCGTTCGTGCGAGTCTCTGCGGGGATTTCTGTGGCTCTGGGTTTGACTTCGCGCCAGCGCCCCAGAGCCGGCGCGTTGAGCGGGCCGTGCCCTCACCCCCCAAACAAGGCAGAGAGCTTAAAAGCTCTTCAGGTGCTGGGAAAACCTCGAGCGAACCTGGTCCCCCCCCCAAAAAAGAGCCTTTTCACTCTCTGCTATGCTTGGATTTCACATGCGCAATTTCAGCCTGCCGGCCTTGAACCATGCGCAGATGAAACAGCGCATGTTCATGTTAAATGCACATTGGATGGGATGGGAGAGCTTTGGCCCCTCGTTTCCCAGGGTGCAGCTCTACGTATTCCTGGGGTGCCTCTTCCCCTGCAGGGTTGGGTGGGCATGGGGGGGTTGTCAGGGAAAGGGGGCGATGTCCAGCACTTCAACCTTTGCAGCAGATTCCTGTACACTGGATGGTTTGGATTCCTGACTCAGAAGATCAGAAGAGCCCGCAGGATCATGCCCGTGGCCCCTTTACTCTCGCAAAATTGGGTGCCTGCTTGGGCAGGGGGGCCCTGGGGGCGTAGCAAAGCGTTAGAAACCCCCAGGCTTCCCTCGCCTTCCCTTCCATCTCAACACCCCCCCCAAAAAAATTCGGCTTTCCATTTTGATCTGAAATCAAAGGCTTCTGAAAGACGAGGCTGGATCAGGCCCCAGGGGGCCCATCTAGTCCAGCCACCTAACCAGGTGCCCCTTGTGGGTAGCCAGCAAGCAGGATTCGAATACAAGAGCCGTGGTCTCCCCTCCTCGTTTCCCAGAGCAGCCGGCATTCAGGAACATCGCTGCCTCCAACACGGGAGACAAGAGGCTGGTCATTGCGGCTGGGGGCCATTGATTTTGTCTCACCCTCTTTTTAAGCCATCGTGGCTTGTCGCCACTGTCCTGTGGCAGTGAGTTCCGCAGTTCACCTTCGCACTGTTCCAGCTTTGGAGAGGCGAGAGGGGAATTCTGGGATTCCGGCCAAGACCACGTCTCCCTCTTAGGGGGTGTCGGCCGGCAGGGGGCGGCCTCTGCCCGTTCTCTTTCTCCCGGGGCCCTGCCCCCCTGTTCTGCGTCCCCTTTGCGTGTGGGTCGGAAGGCGAGGGTCCGAAGCTTTGCTAGGGCCATAGAGGGGCCTGGGGGCTCTTGCCTAGTGCTGGCTTGGGAGCAGGACCCCCGGCAGGCGCTGGGGGGCGGTGATGGGCAGCTGGGGGGCTCCAGGCTTGGTGGCGGCAGCTCTGCGGTGTTTTTGGGGAGGGGGCTGCGCGCCTGTGTGTGTCCTGGGCAGGAACACGTTGACCTTGTGACCTTCTCTCTCTCTCCTGCCCACGCCCATGGCCGCCTTCCTGTAGTTTTACGTTTCTGCCATGTAAGTAACTGGGGCGGGGAGTTCCGCAGGTCCGTCCCCACCCCGCGTGTCTTGGATGTGGGTCAGCTGCTGCATTCTCCCCCTCCGCTCTCCCCCGGGCACTTCTGGGGGGATAGTTACAACCGTGGGGGGGGGGACATCCCCTCTCAACGCCCCCACCTCCCCCACCGCTTTTGCAAGCTTCCCTCTGCTCTCCCCACACCAACCCCCCCCCCAAAAGAAATGGTGGATCTGCAATGAGCGTTGTGAGGCTTCTCTCCCCAGGCCCAGAAAAGCTTCCTTCTCTCTCAGAGCCCCTCACCCCCTTGACCTCCCTGGGCTGTAGGGCATCGGGGCCCAGGGCCCTTGGGCAGAGTCCGTGGGGCAGGAAGGAGGTTTCCTTTGGGCTTCTCTTGCCCTGACCCGAGTCCCACCTTCGGCCAACAACGTGGTCCGAGGGTCCTGCCCTGGCCAGACCCCACGGTCAGCCTCAGGCAATCCCGAGCAGAGCTGGGGGGCCCCCTGCCATGGATGCTTCAGCTGAGACTCCTGCGTCGCAGGGGGTTGGACTAGATGGCCTCTGGGGGTCCCTCCCACCCCTGCAACGCTACATCTCTATGGCAAGAACGACTAAATTCCCCACTTTGCAGTGAGCATGAATGTGCAAAGCAAGACCTGGGAGTGGGGTCTGCTTTTAGGGCAAGGGCGACCAGGATGGGCACCCTCTGCCCGCCAACCTTGCCCTTTGCCCCAGGGGTGCTTTGACGACCCAGAGGAGGGGGCGCTGCTGGCTCCCCAAAGGTCTGTGGGGGGCGCAGGTGCTGTCCTGGTCACATGCACCGCATGGAGGCCTCAGCTGCCCCCTGGCGCCGCTTGGTGGCAAAGAGGGGTGCAGCTGAGCCCATGGGGGTGGAAGGTCGGGGTGGGGAAAGGGGGGAGTCCCAGCGCCCGGCCGTTGGCACCCGTCTTCAGCTGGGGGTTCCCTTCCGCCCTCCCCACATCTGCCTTTCGGGGGTTGGACTGGATGACCCGTGGGTCCCTTCCAGCTCTGTGGCCCCGAGGCATCTGGGGCTCCGATGTTTCCGGCCCCCTTGCCTGCCTGGCTCCCAAGCTTCCCCCCCCCACGCCCCCCCACCCCTCACCGCATTGCCTGGCTTCCTCCTCCCTCCTTCTCTCATGCTCCTTTCATGCCTTGCTGCCTCCCTGGAGTCTATGAGTGGTCCTCCGTTTGGTGGTAGGGCGCTGGGGGGGGGGTGTCCACTTCCAGTGGGGTGGAGGGGCTTTTTGGGGAGGGAGGGGTCTTCAGGAGAACAAGCAGACTCTGCCAGTCTCCATGTTCCCTCTCGGGGGTCCTTCTCCCCTGCCCCACCTCGAGGGGCCTGGAGGGGCGTGGGTTATGGGGCGACTGGCTCGGAAGCCACGCTCTCCAAGCGACCCCCAGCTCCTGGTTTGGGGTCAGGCAGAATCCAGATGCCCGAGTGCAGCCGCCCTGTCCTGCAGGGGGCGTCAGAGAGAACGGGGCCTGCCTCGCAGCGGGTTGGGCTAGATGACCCCAGGCCCCCTTCTGACGCTACTGATTCCTCCTTTCCCCTCCCTCTGCAGTTACGAGAAGCGGCTGTACTGAGGACGGATTCCGGAGCAGCGGCGCCCAGCGAGCGGCCCCCACCGTCCCGGCCCCCGTCGCCCGCTGCCAGCGCACCTGAAGGGGCGGGCTCACCTGGCCGCCCCCCCCCCGGCCTCTCGGGCCGCGCTGACAGGCAAAGACTTGCACTACGAACCACCTGGCTGGCGCCAGAGCCGTGGGCCACCCTCCTCCTCTCTCTCTGTCTCGTTCTGTCCATCTCTCTCTCTCTTTCTGCCCCAGTGCTGGGGGGGGCAGGACTGACTCTCCCCACCAAGGGCAGGACCTGCTGGCAGCTTCACGGATCTCTGCTGGAAGTCTCGAGGGGGGGGGATGGCGTGACACCCCCTCCATGCCCGCTCCCCCCCCCGCTGGGGCACAGTTGAGGGGAGGAGGGGGCTAGTTGCCAGGCCCCCTGCTGTGGGAGCCAGGATCCTGGGACCAGGCGCCTCCCCCAAACCCCACCCCAAATGGAGCTCCCCAAATTCCCAGAGGCTGTTGGGGCCGAGGGGCTGCCCCCCTCTCTACTGCAGCCCCCTCCCCAGCCAGGCTTGCTGGGGGCCCCGCCTGCCCCACTGATGCTAATTTGGGGGGGCAGAAGGGGGAGAGAGCCAGGGAAACGTCCCCAGGGGACTCTGCACCCCATCTCATCTCAGGACCCTCGGGAGGTTTGTGCAGTTGGGGGGGCAGCTGCACTTGGGGGGGGGCACCGAGGCAGTTGGTTTGGGGGTCACAGCCTCCCCCTTAAAGCCGATGGGGCCGGATCCTGCCCCGTTTGGGTCTCGTTCCTGCCAAGCAACAGGGGCAGCAGACCCTCGTCCTCCTCTTGGCCGCTGGGGGTGGGTGGGGGGGCAGCTGCTGCTGCTGGCTAGAGCCCGGCTGGGTCTTGGGGGCTCCTTCAGAGTTGCCCCCTCCCTCCCCCCCCTTTGCCTCAAGGCTGTAACTCTTGCGCATGCTCAAGGTCTCCTCTTGTGTCACTGTGTATTATTAAAGAATAATAAAGCTACGGAGCGTCGTTTAATGGTCTGGGGTGAGGAACGCAAGGAAAACCTCGCTGGATCCGGCCCAAGGGGCCTCTGGGCAGCCCTGCCTCCTGTCCACACAGTGGTCAGCTGGGGGGGGCAGAGCCCACCATCGGATCCGAGCACAAGAGCAACACCCCCTTCCCATAATTTCCAGCATTCAGAAGCCATCCCGGTTGGCAGCCGTCCTTCCTGCAGCAGTGAGTTCCGCAGATCCTTCTCCTCCGTGGATCGGTCCAAGCCCCCTTTTCAGAAGCCATCCGGGGTGGGGGTCCCTCCGTCTAACCGGTGTGTGCGATGTGCCCTCTGCTTGCCCCTCTCAATGACTCAAGATGCAGGGCAGATTAATTTTTTGGGAGGGGGAGACTTCGCGTTGCCCACTTCCCCCCATTGCAATCCTGGCTTCACAGCCTTGCTGCCTGCCCTCCTTCTGCTGGTGGCAATTCAGCTCCATGCCACCCTTCCATGGCACCTATTTCCTGGGCACTTCCGTTGCAACAGGCTGCAGCACTCAAAGTGAGTTTTTTTTGGGGGGGAGGGTTGCTCCATTGGGACCCCCAAGTCCAGCCACCCATCCGGCTGCAGCCTCCTGGAGCGGCTCTGGCAAACGGGCCTTTCACCTCCATGCCCGCCGCAGGGATGGCAGCGGCGATGTCTTCCTCGTCCGCCAAGCGTGCATTTCTGGTTCCCTCTCGCTCGCTAAAGTTTCGCCTGGAGTCCGGAGGCGGGCAGGAGGCCCAGCTGCTGCAGGAAAGCGCCCAGCGCCCGGGCGTATTCCTGGGGGTAGAGGCGCAGGTGTTGGGCGTGGCGAGAGACTGCCCACTCCTGCACCTGGACGCGAAGGCCCAGTGCCCGCCAGGTGCCCAGCAGCTGCTGCATGGTGCGGGCGTCGCTCAGCGGGTCATTGTGGCAGAAGAAGACCAGCACGGGGCAGCGGAGGGGCGGGCGGTGGAAGGCGTCCAGGGCGGCCTCGTAGTGTGCCACGGTGCACGGGCGGAAGAGGCGGAAGTACAGCAGGGCGCCTCCGCGGAGGAGAGGCCGGACGGCCGCAGAGGAGCTGGTCATCCTGGCCACGCCTGGGGGGGGGGAGAAAGAAGGCAGCTCAAGCATCCCAGGTGTTGGGGGGGGCAGGAGACAGAGATGCAGGAAGGAATAATAATAATAATTTATTATTTATACCCAGCCCATCGGACTGGGTCTCCCCAGCCACTCTGGGCGGCTTCCAGGTAAAGGTAAAGGGACCCCTGAGCATTAGGTCCAGTCGCGGCTGACTCTGGGGTTGTGGCGCTCATCTCGCTTTATTGGCCGAGGGAGCCAGTGTACAACTTCCAGGTCATGTGGCCAGCATGACTAAGCCGCTTCTGGCGAAACCAGAGCAGCGCACGGAAACGCTGTTTACCTTCCCGCCAGAGCGGTACCTATTTATCTACTTGCACTTGGACGTGCTTTCGAACTGCTAGGTTGGCAGGAACAGGGACCGAGCAACAGGAGCTCACCCCGTGGCGGGGATTCGAACTGCCGACCTTCTGATCAGCAAGCCCTAGCCTCTGTGGTTTAACCCAAAGCGCCACCCGCGTCCCTTGTCAGGCGGCTTCCAACCAAATATCAAAAACAATACAGCGTCAGACATTAAAAACTTCCCTAAACAGGGCCGCCTTCAGGTGTCTTTTAAAAGTGAAATACTGTATTTTTCGCTCTATTGGACGCACCGGACCATAGGGGGGGAAACAGGGGGGGGGATTTTTTTCTTGTTCTCCCCCTCTAAAACAAGGTGCGTTCTGTGCGTTCAAGGTGCGTTCACCCGAAGCCCCCGCTGGGCTCTGGAGGCTTTGGGTTCCTTTCGACCTGCTCTTTGGGGCTCGCGGGGGGGGAGCGCTGCTTTCCCCCACCGCCAGCCCCAAAGACCAGGTCGGGGAACAGCGGGAAGGCGGTGCTCCGCCTCCCCGCTGTCCCCCGAGCTTGTGGGGCTGGCGGTGGGGAGAAGCGCTGCTTTCCCCACCGCCAGCCTCCAAACCAGGTAGGGTTTGGAGGCTGCTATCTGCAAGCCTTGGGAGCCCGGCAGGAACTCCCACCGAGCTCCCAAGGCTTGTGGATATCTGTCCGAAGCCCGGGACACGCTGCGCAGCGCTCCCCAGGCTTCGGGATGCAGGCTGCTATCCGCAAGCCTTTGGAGCGCAGCGGGCACTCCCGCCACGCTCCGAAGGCTTGCTGATAGCTTCCTGAAGCCTGGAGAGCGAGAGGGGTCAGTGCGCACCAACCCCTCTTGCTCGCCAGGCTTCAGCGAAAGCCTGCATTCGCTCCATAGGACGCACACACATTACCCCTTCATTTTTGGAGGGGGGAAAGTGCGTCCTATACAGTGAAAAATACGGTAGTTGTTTATCTCCTTGACATCTGACGGGAGGGCGTTCCACTGGGCAGGTGCCACCACCAAGAAGGCCCTCTGCCTGGTTCCCTGTAACCTCACTTCTCGCAGGGAGGGAACCGCCAGAAGGCCTCGGCGCTGGACCTCAGCGTCCATGTAGAATGATGGGGGTGGAGAACGGACTTCTGGAACAGATTAAGTTTGAGGACCAAGGTGCCACTGCATTCTGAATTCTGCGCTTTGATGTTTTGAATGCCGGCTGTGAGCCGCTTTGGGCATGGCCCGTGGTGAGCCAACTGGTCCCGCCAGCCCCTTCCTCCCCACCCCAGGAGGCCCACTGCTCACCCTGAGCCATATTCTCCAGGCTCCCTGCGACCAGGCTGTCGTAGACGCAGCCGCGAATGCGCTCTCCGATGCCGGCATGCCGCTCGGGGTGTCTGGCGAGGTGCACCATCATCTGGGCAAAGGTGTACCCTCCGATGGAGAAGGCGTGGATGAGGAGGGGCTGGGTGCCCAGGGCCTTGCCCTCCCCCAGGAGCCCCAGGAGCTGCTCTGCGTACGCCAGGCCCCACCGCGGCCACAGGAAGTGGCCCAGGCTGCTCTCGGCCACCAGCACACCCCAGCCGCGGCCCAGGTAGAGGGAGAGGTACTTGGCCAGGGCACCGGGCCGGGCACCAAACCAGGGCAGCAGCAGGACGAGGGGCTGCGAGTCGGCAAAGGTGCCCGCAGGCCGGTATAGGCAGACGGTGCGCGAGACGGGCGTCACGGCCGTGCCAGGCAGCAGAGAGGCATGGCTCGCTTCTGGGCTGCCCGCAGGTGGGTCCTCCGCCACGGCGCCTTCGGGGGTGACGGGAGGAGGGGCCTCAGTTTCCATGGGAGGCATCGCAGGCGCCGCTCCTGCAAGGTCTGCCGCCTGCACTTTGCCCAGGAGGCCAGGCAGCCCTGGAAAATGTCAAAGGACCAGAAGGAACATTTTATCATATGTGGTGGGAATGTAAAAAAGTAAAGAACTTCTGGGAAATGATATATAATGAGATGAAAAAGATGTTGAAATACACATTTTTTAAAAAAGCAGAAGCATTTTTACTTGGTATTATAGGTCAGGACATGAATAGGCAAGATGTTAAATTGTTTTTATATGCAACAACTGTGGCAAGAGTATTGTTAGCCCAGAAATGGAAACAAGAAGAAATTCTGACGAAAGAAGAATGGCAGACAAAATTAATGGACTATGCAGAATTGGACAAAATGACAGGAAGGATTCGAAACCTGCAGGACCAGAGATTCACAGAAGATTGGAAGAAGTATATGAATTATTTGAAGAGCAACTGTAACCAACAAATTACGCTAGTAGGACTACAAGAAGTTTTGTAAGGAGGAATATACAAAGTGTTACAAAGTAGAAAAAGATAGATATTGGTTATGAGTTTGAAATGTAACCGGGAAGATAAGAAATGCATACTGAGAGATTAGACTGGAAAATTTTCAGACAGGATTGATGGAAGTAAAAAATTTGAATAAGATGTAAAAGTATGTTTAATTATTGCTCTTATTTATGTATGCGACGACAGCAGCGCGGATACTACTGGCGCAGAGATGGAAAGAAGTCCCGACCAGAAACAATCACGAACATGATGGACTATGCCAAAATGGCAAAAATGACCAGGAAAATAAGAAACCAGGAAGAGAGGAACTTTGGCAGGATTTGAGTGATGCTTGTTGTCAGGGGTTCAGGGAGAGAGGCACAGGGTAGGCAGGAGATGGAGAGCGATGGGGAGGAATTCCAAGCCAGCGAGGAAGAGAATGACAATGACTCAAGAGATTCCATGAGTCTTTCCAGCGAATCAGAGGATTCCCAGAAGGGGGCGCCGGTGGTCAAGGCCAGGGAGCCCCAGGGGGGACGTGTCAGGAGCAGGGGGCCAGCGGAGGATCCCAAAGTGGCAGCTGGGCGTCAGGACCAGCCTCCCCACCAGAGTGCAGCGAAGGGGGTGGAGTTTCCAGTGTGTCAGAGGAAGCAGCTCCGGGAGCAGAGAAAGGAGGGGGGTCAGAGCAAGCCGCCCTCCCGGAAGGGGAGGGGAGCAGTGAAGGGAGTAGTGTAGCTGTTGAAAGGAAGGTTAGAGGCTGGGCGCGCGCGCCAAGTTCAAATGTAGAGGCGCGCGGAAGTACAGGGAGCCCGGAGGAAGGGCCAGGTCCCAAAGCCCGCAGGAGGGGGCAAGAGCAGTCTGAGGATTCCGCGTCAGAGGAATCCAGAAGGGGCGCAACCCCAGCGGGCAGAAGGACCCTGCGGAAAAGGAAGGAGAGAAAGAGGTGGAGCAGCGCAAGTCTCTTAAATTGGTGCAGGGGAGGGACTGACTCAGAGGGGACTTCAGCGGTCTAGCGTAAGAGACGTGAGGCTGCGCGCCTAGGATGTCAAGCAAACCATGAACTGCAATAAACACCTTTGTATATAAGAAGACATAGGCGTTGGTCTTTTGTGAGCTGAGACCTGAGGCAGCTTTGACACTTGTAATGTACTAAAAACGAAGGTAAAAATGGATTATTTAAGAAAAATAGAGAAAATATGTGAGGCAGTTGAAAAAGATTGAAAATGGAAACCAGGGAATCCTAAATGCTGATGATGATGTCTAATGTTTGAATTTAAATGTGCAGTGTAAAACTGAATAAAAAAGATTTTTTTATTTAAAAAAGGAAAATGTCAAAGGAGCACATGAGAAGATTTTTGGACAAGGATTATACCATCGTCGCCCGCCACTGGGGGCAACATCTTGGACCGGCCTCCATGTTTTTATTGTAATTATCTGTAAGAATAGAAGAGCCTAAGGAGAGCCTGTGCTGGATCAGGCCCTTGGCCCACCTAGTCCAGCTTCCCCTTCTCATAGGCGCTCAATGGTTGCCTGTGGGAAACCTGCAGTCAGGATTCGAACTCAAGATACCTCTCCCTCCAGGGGTCTCCTGCTGCCTCTGATGGTGGAAGCAGAGCTCGGATCCTGGCTCAAAGTCATCCATGGTCCTCTCCTCCTCCATGAACTGGTCTAAACCTCTTTTAAAGCCATCCAAGTTGGTGGCCATCACTGCCTACTGTGGCAGGGAGTTCCACGGTTTAACCAGGTCCTTCATTTGATCTGTCCTGCATCTTCCAACCTTCAGCTTCATCTGATGTCTCCAAATGCCAGTCTAGGACCTGGGAGAGACCAGGGTTCAAATGCCCACTCAAGCACGAAGCCAGTCCCTTCCTCTCAGCCTGGCCTGCCACACAGGGGGGTTGTGGAGATTAAATGAGGAGGTTGCGGGATCATGGATATAAATGCAATGCAATAATATATGATCCTGTCTGTATTTGACCAGATAGATAGATAGATAGATAGATAGATAGTGATAGCGATAGATATATAAATAGATAAATAGGTTATAGATGACAGTGATAGATAGAAAGATAGATGATAGTGATAGATAGATAGATAGATAGATAGATAGATAGATAGATGATAGATAGATAGATAGATAGATAGATAGATAGATAGATAGATGATAGTGATAGATATAGATAGATGATAGAGATATACATGATATAGATAGATAGATAGATAGATAGATAGATAGATAGATAGACAGATAGATGATAGATAGCTAGATAGACAGACAGACAGACAGACACATAGATAGATATAGATAGATGAGAGAGAGACAGAGAGAGATGCTTCAGGCTGTTTTATGAGGAACACAATTCCGAAAGGAAACAAACAAGAAATCCATTCCTAGAACCAGCAAGAGAGCTAGCGAAGGAAACTCCCGAGGTGAGAAGAGGATTGGGAAAGGGCTCAGCTCAAAGATCATCCGGGTGGTTCTCTGGAACTGCAGGAAGTGCGCAATTGCAGGGGGAGGGATGGGGAAGAGACGCCCCTAGGGGAACTTCCTGGGGGGACAGGACACTCCGCCCCCCCACCTGATCCTGATCCGCTGCGTTTCCATGGGAACAGGGACCGGGACTAACCCCCCTCCCTGCCCCCTGCCTGACCTGCTCTAAATCTCTCCAGAAAGCAGGAGGTGGCAAGGAGCCAAGAGCAGAGAGGGAGAGAATACACCCCCCTCTGTCTCCCTGGCCCCCATGAGCCCCCCCTGCATCTTTCTCCCCCCCCACTGCATCACGGGGCACCCCCAATTCTGCTTACCCCCCATGCACACACAGGAGAGGGGGCGGAGAGCTTTAATCTGCAACCAAAGTTCGGTTGATTAATTAGACTAATTAACCGATAGATTGAAGCATGCAGCCCTAAATAGAAATGTTGTGCTTTTTCCTCCCCTACCGGCATTCGCAAGCTCTAATTGCTCACTCCTCCTTGAAGGGCTGCCCTCTTTATCGCTCCCTAGGAAAGAGTCTCGTCGCCCCTTTTGGGTGGATGTGCATTCCGGAGAAGATCACTTCGTATGTCCGGTCGTCCTTGCACATTTCTCCAAAAAAACAAGGCATCGTGAACTGGAAAAAGGAGAAATAACATTGATCATCCAGGCAAGGCACTCACAGAATTGTAGAGTCGAAGGGAACCCCAGGGGCCATCTAGTCCGCCCCCTGTGATGCAGGGATCTCAACTGAATAAGCACTGGTAGATCTGGCCTCTGCTGAAAAACCTCTGAGGAAGGAGAGTCGGCCACCTTCTCAGGGAGCCTGTTCCGCTCAGAATGTTCTTCCTGATAAGTACCGTATTTTTCGCTCTATAACACGCACCCGACCATAACACGCACATAGTTTTTAGAGGAGGAAAATCCGTAGGCATGCCACCCGTAGGCATTTCCTCCATAACACGCACAGACATTTCCCCTTACTTTCTAGGAGGAAAAAAGTGAGTGTTATGGTGCAAAAAATACGGTAGTTTTGTATTCTGACTTTAAAAGCAGCCTTTACATTTACAGTAAATATTTTCATATTATTTTCTATTACTTAAAATGATTGTTATGAAATCCAATTAGTATGGATGGTTTTTAAGCTGCTTTTTATTTTTAAAATCTGGAATAAATAAAATGTAAAGAGGAAAAAAAGAAAAGAATGTTCTTCCTGATAATAATAATAATAATAATAATAATAATTTTATTTATATCCCAGCCAAAGCCAGGCTCAGAGAGGCTAACAACAATGTAACAGCATTCTAAAATCAATTCAGAATCAAATTAGTGGCAACCATTGAGCTAGTGTTCTATGAGGATTACAGAAGGAGGGGGTCAGACTGTGCCTTGGCCAAAGGCCTGGTGGAACAGCTCCGTCTTGCAGGCCCTGTGGAAAGATGTCAAGTCCCGCAGGGCCCTAGTCTCTTGGGACAGAGCGTTCCACCAGCCGAAAAGCCCTGGCTCTAGTTGAGGCCAGCCTAACCCCCTGTGGCCTGGGACCTCCAAGATGTTTTTGTTTGAAGACCGTAAGGTCCTCCGTGGGACATACCAGGAGAAGGGGTCCCATAGGTACGAGGGTCCTAGGCCGTATAGGGCTTCTATAAACATCAGGAAGAACATTCTGAGTCATGACAATCTGATTGACATACTAAGAAGCAGCGGGATTCGAATTGGGTTAAGCCCCTGTGGGACATGTTTATCTCTCTGGGCGCAAAGTCCACGGCAAGAATGAGGAACGGCAGATCTGAGGGGCGGCCGCTCTGTACATCAAAGAGGATAGTCCAGAGAGTCCAAAGAGCCAGAAATCCCCAGGAGGAGGGCAGAGCAGCCTTCCGGATCAGACCAGATCTAGCCCAGAATCCTGTTCTCACAACGGTTGACCTGTGCGAAACCAGCTAGCAGGATCTGAACACAAGACCCCTTTCCTCTCCTGCGATTGCTGCCTCCAAGCGGGAAGCCGTTGTGGCTGGTAGCCCTCCATAGCCCCCTCCTCCTCCGTGAATTTGTCTGATCCTCTTTTAAAGCCATCCAAGTTGGTGACCACCCCTGCCCCCCCCCCGCCTACCTCACACGGTTGTCACAAGGGCAATCCATCACAACAGAGCACTTCGTACACCAAGCAGCAGCCGCCGCTCCCCGGGCTGGCAAGAGCGATGCAGACTGGATCAAGGCACACGGAGTCTGGGTCACAGAGCAATCTCCCAGTCGCTATGGAGACCCCCTGGCACTGTGCCCCTCCCTCTCCAGAGTCAGGCCAGACCTGGAGGTGCCAGGAGCTGATGCCTCTCCGAGCCAAAGCCCTGCTCAGGGGGGAAAGGAAGCGAGAATGGGGAGGGGGGGAGCTACTGGCCACAGACGAGCCCTGGATCACCCAGGCCTGGCATCAGTTGGCACCCTTTGACACATTCCATTTCTTTTCCTTTCATGTGATTTATACCTCACTGGATTGTGTAAGTACCTCTAAGCAGGACGCAAAAAGGTAACGAGGAGAAAAGCACATGATTAAACTACTTACACAGCTTAAAACTGGTATCGCCATTTAAGTTTCTGGGTCAGGCTTGCCAAAACAGGAATGTTTTTAGCAGGTACCGAAAAGAATACGGTGATACCTGGGTTTACAAACTTAATCCATTCCGGAAGTTCGTTCTTAAACCAAAACCGTTCTCCAACCAAGGCACACGTTCCCTAATGAGGCCTCCCGCCGCCGGTGCCCTTCCACCGTTAGATTTCTGTTCTTAGACCAAGGTAAAGTTCTCAAACCGGGACACTATTTCTGGTTTTGCGGAGTTTGTAAACCGAATCATTCTTAAACTGGACTGTTCTTAAACCGAGGTACCACTGTACAGTGAAAGATCCTGCTTGATATCAATAGGCAGGGAGTTCCAAAGGAACGAGTCTCCTTTGGCCCCTGCAGTAGTGCCAATTCTGCCAATCGGAGCAGTCAAGTGGGCACAGCTGGCGCAAGGTGATCCCGTAAGCAGTTGAGGGCTTTCTGTACTAACAGCTTGAACTTGGCCCGGAGAGAAATTGGCAACCGCTGCAGATTTCTGAGTGCCTGTGCTCAGTCAGTAGAGCTTGAGACTCTGACTCTCGTGAGTTCAATCCCCACGTTGGGCAAAAGATTCCTGCTCTGAGGGTTGGCCTAGATCAGGCTTCCTCAGCCTCGGCCCTCCAGATGTTTTTGGCCTACAACTCCCATGATCCCTAGCTAGCAGGACCAGTGGTCAGGGATGATGGGAATTGTAGTCTCAAAACATCTGGAGGGCTGAGGTTGAGGAAGCCTGGTCCCTTCCAACTCTACAAGTCCATTATTCTACGCTGACAAGGTCTTGCTCTTGTCAGCAATCGCGCTGCAGCATTCTGCAAGGACTGCAGCTTTCAAATCGAGTACAGTGCGCCTTGCAGTTTTGACTGCCGCCTGTCATTCTAAGAAGGGGGTTTGCTGTGGATTTGCTGGTGGAATGTGTGCTACAAAGGCCTTCAGATAACCCGTATTTTCCCTCCCCTAAATGAAGCTCCTGAAGCTATCAGGACATCCTAGAGACCTTTCCCCTGTTTATCGATTCCAGAGGAACAGAGCCGTTCTCCTCCTCCTCCTCCTCTCTCCAATGTCTACACGCTTCGTATCAGTAACGCATAAGCCCATCTCAGGTCCCAAAGGTGACCTCTGCTATTTTTAAGTAGGATAGTTCCTGTGGATGCTTTGCTCTGAGACCGTCCTTCAGTTCTTCAAATTACAAGAAAGGAGATTCTGCCGCAAGAATCTTCTGGTGGTGAGAGCAGTCTCTCCCTCAGAAGGTGGTGGGCTCTCCCTGGAGGTTTTTAAGCAAAGGTGAGGTGGCCACCTGTCCAGGATCCTTTAGCTGTGCTTCTTGCACTGCATGGGGTTGGACTAGATGACTCTTGGGGTTCCCTTCCAGCTGCAGTTCTATGGTCCCCAGATAGCGCATGCCCGGCCAGCACCCCGTACCCCATTAAGTACAACCAATTTGCACTGCCAGGTAAGCACAGCCAGCCCCACCTCCTCCACCCCAGCACACACCTGAGATCCGCAGGTAGGGCTCCTCTGGGGGGCGGGGGGGGGCTTGAGCTCTGAGCTCCCTCTCTGCAAAAACAGTGGGGGAGCAGGAGGGGGCAAGCTGTTGCAGTGACACGGAGCCAGCCCCCTGTCCCCACCGTGCCCGTCTCCAGACGGCTGGGCCTTCCTTTCCCTCTCTCTGGGCCGCTCAAACATTCTTCGAGGAGCCTCTGCACCGCGTCCCCCCCCCAATCCCCCGTAAGCTCCCCCCTCCAAGCAGCTCTAGGGAAACTGGGTGCACCCAAGAGGTGGCTCTGGGTCAGTGACGTCAGTCTGGGGGTCCTGGGGAGAGGAGGGTATTTGAGGTCCCTCAAGTGGGGCCGTCTTCCCCCCCATGCAAAAGCAGCCTCGGGCTTGTTCCCTGGCTGGAAGGAGCCGCGCTCGCCTGCTTTTACGCAAGGCGCGCCCTGGCGGAGAGCGGCCGGCCACCTCCGCGGAGCCACCGGAGCATCGGGGACCCACTTTCCGCGTGGCCCTGCAGCGCTGGCCGGGCTCCTGCCCCCCACCCCGCCCCAAGTACGAGCCCCTCTGCCCCTGCCGGCGGGGATGGCGCTGCAGCCGCCCGAGCGCCTCTGTTCTCTGGCTCCGGAAGGGGAACTCGGAGCAGACCTTGCGGGGCTTCTCTGCCAAGGATGCCTGAGCGGCGATCGGAGTGGGTTGGGCTGGATGACCCCCGGGGTCCCGTCCAACTCGACAATTCTTACCACTTCACATCCGCATGCCTCCCGGGGGTGCGGCTGTCCCGCTGGTCCTGCCTGGGGAGGGTTGAGCGAGGTGCCCGGCTCAGCGCCGTCTCCTCGGCGCGCACCTTCCTTCGCCCGGCTCCAGAGCGCCCCTGAGCGCGTGCAGAGTGCCTTGCAAGGAGCAGCGGGTCTCGAGCCAACGGGGAGGGAGACTCGGAAGGGAGAAAACAATCCCCCTGCCCCTGGGGAAGGAGGGGGTTTTCGGACGGGCCGCGCGTCTTTGGAGAGGGGCGCAAGGCGCGGAGAGGAGAAGCGGAGCGCCGCGCAGGGATTCCGCCGCCGACCCCTCGCCTTCCCCGGCCGCCTCGGACTCGCCGCGGCCCGGAGCTCCGCTCGCCTCGCCCCGCCTCGGTCCGGCTGGGCTCCGTGCGCCTCCGAAATAGGCTCGGGCAGCAGCCTGGGCAGCTTCCGCCTCGCCGCGGGCCGGCCCCCTACCCACCTCCCCGGGGATCGGCCACAGGCGGAAATTCAACCGGTGCAGCGACCGCCGCCTCTTCCCCTTTTGCTTGGCGCGGGAGCTGCTATGGGGCCGCCAGCCGCTAAGCCAGCTTAGGTCAGGAATTCCGGGCAGGAATGCTCCTTTTGTTCTTATTTTTTACTAAGTATTTTGTTTTTGTTTTTAAATATATTGTAATTTTATGCAGTGAACCGCCCTGAGATGTACGATTAAATGCAAATTTAATAAACAAACAAACAAAAACAAACACTGCATTAGGGCGGCCCACCCATGAAGCAAGGTGAGCGCCTCAGGCGGCAGGATCCACAGGGGCAGCAAATCCCGGTGCAGATCTTTCCCCCTTCGCCCCTCATGTGGATGTTCCTAAAGAGCGAGGAGCTGGAGGAGGCAAGAAAGCCACTGAGCCTGTTGCAGGAATTTATGTATAGATGGGGGGGGGGTTGCCCCTCCAGCAGATCTCATGCACATGCAGCCCACTACCAAAACCAGCACAATCACTTTTGTGACTTGTCCCCACAAAACGCTTGGTCACAGTTTCTTCCTATCTATTCAAAGGGCCTTTGCTGCACGATACCAAATGTAAGAATTCACTGATCAATGTATCTATGTACTGACTCACTGGGAAAACTTCAGAAATCCTGGGCAGACATGTGAGCTCAGCTACTCAGCAGCTCCTCTGCCTGAGTGATAATCCCTGGCATCCTGATACCTGAGTGCCAGACAGGTAGCCATGCCAGAAATAACAAACCCAGAGGAAGACAAAAGGGTGTGATTAACTTGGCTGGGAAACAAGGAAATGTAAAGATCTCTTTTGTTCCACTGGATGGGTGTTTGGTGGAGGCAAGGGGAACCATGGGGCAGGGTCCAGGATGCTCAGATTCCTGCCACCAGACCTCCCCTTTCATGATGTAACCATGATGTATGAGTGATGTAGTTTGGGGAGGGTGTAACATGGGGATTAGCAGCTAATAAAAGTTGGGGTCTTCTTTTGTTGGGGGCTTCCATCTTGTTCCACCTGGTGGCAGGTGGGAGTCCTGTCGTGACAGTCTTCAATCAAGACCAAGCCAACTGGCTGCTGTTTTGCTCTGCTATTCCTGGCTGGTGTCCTCGTTTTTTTGCCCAAGGGAGCCCTCAGATTTCTCCGTTAACAAGCCCATAGGTGGCAGTAGTGTGGAAACAATAAGAACCCCAAAAGAGCCTGCAGGATCAGGCCCGTCCTGTCCGGCCTCCTGTTCTCACAGGGGACAAGCAGATGCCAGCTAAGGGAGACCTGCAAGCAGGATCCGAGCATGATAGCATTTCTCCTCCTCCTGCGGTGTCCAGCTGCCGGCATTCAGAAGCATCACTGCCTCTGACTGTGGAGGGCAGAGCAGAGCCAGTGTGGTGTAGTGGTGAAGAGCGGTGGACTCGTAATCTGGGGAACCGGGTTCGCGTCTCCGCTCCTCCACCTGCAGCTGCTGGGTGACCTTGGGCCAGTCACACTTCTCTGAAGTCTCTCAGCCCCACTCACCTCACAGAGTGTTTGTTGTGGGGGAGGAAGGGAAAGGAGATTGTTAGCCGCTTTGAGACTCCTTTGGGTAGTGATAAAGCGGGATATCAAATTCAAACTCTTCTTCTTCATCATCCTGCCTTGGAGCCTTCATGTTGTGGTCATGGTCATGTTGTGTGGACACCTGATTATTGTCTTCCAAAGCAACTACTCTATTCTGAACTTAAAAATGGAAAGCATAATGCTGGTGGTCAACAAAAGAGGTTTAAAGACTTTCTCAAGGCAAATTTTTAATAATGTAGCATGAACACTGACAACTGGGAAGAACTGGCCTGCAAGTGCTCCAATTGGAGAACAGCCTTGACCAAAGGTGTCATGGGCTTTGAAGACGTTTGAACTCAGGATACAAGGGAGAAACGTGCTAAGAGGAAGTTACAGGTAGGTAGCCGTGTTGGTCTGCCATGGTCAAAACAAAATTTAAAAAATCCTTCCAGTAACACCTTAGAGACCAACTAAGTTTGTTATTGGTATGAGGTTTCATAGTACAGTGGTACCTCAGGTTAAGAACTTAATTCATTCCGGAGGTCCATTCTTAACCTGGAACTGTTCTTAACCTGAGGTACCACTTTAGCTAATGGGGCCTCCCACTGCCGCCGCATCACCACCACAATATTTCTGTTCTCATCCTGAAGCAAAGTTCTTAACCCAAGGTACTATTTCTGGGTTAGCGGAGTCTGTAACCTGAAGCGTATGTACCCTGAAGTGTCTGTAACCTGAGGTACCACAGTATCTGAAGAAGTGTGCATGCACACGAAAGCTCATACCAATAACAAACTTAGTTGGTCTCTAAGGTGCTACTGGAAGGAATGTTTTTATTTTGTTTTGTGCTAAGAGGAAGGCACGTTTGTCAAAACCACACGGGGATCAACTCCTGCCCAGAAACCTATGTCCCCACTGTGGAAGGACGTGCGGATCCAGAACTGGCCTCCACAGTCACTTAAGGACTCATTGTTAAAACCGTGTTCATGGAAGACCATCTTACTCGGCTTCAATTGATCGCCAAAGAAGAAGAAGGAGCCTTCAATAGCTTTTGTCCTTCAGAAATGTGTCTAATCCTCCTTTAAGCCATCTCTGGCTTTGGAGCTGAGATTTATGGTCCTCTCTGTCTCCAAAACAAAAACATTTGCACCAAGCAGTGAGTGTGGTATGGCAGGAGAGCTTCTGTGGCAGCCCAAGGGCTCCGGGGAGGGCAAGTCCTGCACCACCTTCACTGGTTCTGATTTGAAAGAGAGGAAGAGCCGGGTATCATCCGTATCATCCGTATATGGTTGATGGGGCACAGGTGGCGGGCATGCAGGGAAAGGGGCGGCCGCCGGCAAAGCCGCACAGCTCCCCCACTGGCTGGGGCGCCCCTGAGAGGCCAGCGGCCTGGTGCAAAGCGCCACTAAGCCCAATAGGAAAGACGGCTCTGACTGGCAGGCCAGGGAATCCATCGCTCAGTGGGTAGAGCATTGCATGCAGAAGATCCTGGGTTCAATTCCCAGCACCTCCAGGCACGGCTGGGAGTTTCGCCTTCGTTAAACCCAAGCGGGCTGCTGCCAGTCAGTGCAGGCAGTCTTGAACTAGGTGATTTGAGCCAGTATAAGCAGTCACGAAATTAAAAGACGCCTGCTTTTTGGGAGAAAAGCAATGACAAACCTAGACAGCATCTTAAAAAGCAGAGACATCACCTTGCCAACAAAGGTCCGTATAGTTCAAGCTATGGTTTTCCCAGTAGTGATGTATGGAAGTGAGAGCTGGACCATAAAGAAGGCTGATCGCCGAAGAACTGATGCTTTTGAATTCTGGTGCGGGAGGAGACTCTTGAGAGTCCCATGGACTGCAAGAAGATCCAACCTCTCCATTCTGAAGGAAATCAGCCCTGAGTGCTCACTGGAAGGACAGATCCTGAAGCTGAGGCTCCAAGACTTTGGCCACCTCATGAGAAGAGAAGACACCCTGGAAAAGACCCTGATGTTGGGAAAGATGGAGGGCACAAGGAGAAGGGGACGACAGAGGGCGAGATGGTGGGACAGTGTTCTCGAAGCTACCAGCATGAGTTTGACCAAACTGTGGGAGGCAGTGGAAGACAGGAGGGCCTGGCGTGTTCTGGTCCAGGGGGTCACGAAGAGGCGGACACGACTAAACAACTAAACAACAACAACAACAACAACAACAACAAAGCTTGGTTCTTCCCGCAATGACGGGCAGAGGCTCCCCAGGGTTTTGCTCCAGCCCTGCTTGGAGCCAGAGTCGTACCTAGGCTCCCTTGCACCCTTGGGAAGGAGCTGTGCCAGCACCTCCAGAGGCAGGAGAGACCATGGACCAGAAACCCAAAAAAGTTTGCTTTCCGTCCCCTTTGTTATTACCACCCACACACTTCTGCTGCGCTTTTCGGCTTGTGTGGTGGCACCTCGACAAACCCACTTCTGACTGTTTGTAGCAGAGTTTTCCCCGGAGGCAGAGGACAAGAACAGATGTCATACTCAGATTCACAGTCAAGAGCTTCTTTATTGAAGAAGAGGAAGAAGAAGAAGAGTTTGGATTTGATATCCCGCTTTATCACTCCCCTTCAGGAGTCTCAAAGCGGCTAACATTCTCCTTTCCCTTCCTCTCCCCACAAACACTCTGTGAGGTGAGTGGGGCTGAGAGACTTCAGAGAAGTGTGAGTAGCCCAAGGTCACCCAGCAGCTGCAGGTGGAGGAGCGGAGAGGCGAACCTGGTTCACCAGATTACGAGTCTACCACTCTTAACCACTACACCACGCTGGCTCTTTTATTGCTTGACTGGTTGCACAAGCATTTCTGTACCTATTATATACAAGCTATTTACATTCCTTCTCTATCTCTCCAGCACGGTATACTCTCAGTCCAGTAATTAACAATCCTGACACAGCAAAACTCACAGTATCAGCATCACACGTTGTCTTACTTCCAACCTTGTTGTCAGCGTGTGTGCTGATAGTGTGTGTGTGCGTGTGCGTGTGTGCTTTCCCCGTGTGTAAATTGCAGCCTGCAACTTCCTCCCTTTATTTGCACCTCCAGCTGACACCAATCAAATCTCGAGTGCCACTCCTACACACTAAAGAAAATTCTGGAACCCTCTTTAAAGCTTCCAGGAAATTTTATCTGTTTCTTAAAGAATGTTTTCATCACATTTGTGACTTCAGCCATGGACATCAATATGGGTTCTGCTCCTTCTCTTCTTCTTCCTCCTCCTCTGGTCCCTAGGTCTGCCAGTCACTTTCCATTCTGTCTTCCTTCCTTTTTCCCTCCTCTTGCAAGTCCCTCCCCTCCCAACAACCTCTCCGTTTTTCTTCCAGTTATTATTATTATTATTATTATTTCCCCAGCCACTCAGGGTGGCTTCCAACGAAGACTAAAAAGTACATTAAAATATCACACATTAAAAGCTTCCCTAAACAGGGCTGCCTTCAGATGTCTTCTAAAAGTCTGGTAGTTGTTGTTCTCTTTGACATCTGGTGGGAGGGCGTTCCACAGGGCGGGCACCACCACCAAGAAGGCCCTCTGCCTGGTTCCCTGTAACTTGGCTTCTCGCAGTGAGGGAACGGCCAAAAGGCCCTCAGAGCTGGACCTCAGTGTCTGGGCAGAACGATGGGGGTGGAGACGCTCCTTCAGGTATACAGGACCAAGGCTGTTTAGGGCCCCAGTGAGCCCCACTGGGGAGGGGGCCGTGCAGGGCTGTTCTGACGGCCTACAGCAGGGACTGGATTCCTCTGCAGAGGCGCCCAGAGGCGCCTGCCCACCTCTCCCGGACACCCAGGACAGCAGAGGAGCCGTCCAAGGAGCGCACAGATAGGCGGACAGGCTCCTAGCCCCACCCCATGCCCCCAAAAACGTCACAGAGGAAAATAGGACGTGCATCTTTCCGGGATACGCTCCCAGGTGGGGGCCACACTCTTATCACAGGAACCAGGTGACTCCTGGAAGAGCACGCTCTCCCCCCAAAAAACGGGCATCTTTTGGGGTCGTGCTCTTGTGGGAGCATCCTGGGATCCAACCGGAAGCCGGAATGGCTTCTGTAATTCTGTAATAGAAGTGGAGCAGTTGAAGGGTATGGCCACTGCGAGCCTGACTAGAGAGGCGCAGATTTCGCACACGCACCCGGGGCCTGGGCCCTTGGCAGGAGACAGCCTGGTCGACCCTTAGTTATGCCTCTGTCAGGAGCCAAAGAGAATTGAACCCACGACTTTTAGCACGGAACGCAGCCTCTCTGACGCCGTCTCTCTGCCACCGCTGCCTCCTCTGTGTGGAACCCGGAGGCATTGCAGAGGGAGGGTCTAGATGACCCCCGGGGGTCCCTTCCAAGGCTGCTGCTCTCTGATCCTAAGGAAATTGGTCCTCTCTGAGCTGTGGCTTCCCAGCCTGCCTGCCCCTTCCTGCAGTTCAGCTGTGCCAAACCCTTTCTGGGGGTCCCTGCCCTTCTCCCTGCAAACAGACCCCCCTTCGCTCCCCCTTGCCTGCCTCTCCCCCCTCCAGGGCACACACGGCTCCAGACAATATGACTGACACCCATCGATCTCTCTCTGCACACCCAGCTTTTCTCTCCCCCCCTCTTTTCGCAACATAATTTTTTATTATATTCTTCCAAGCATTTTCACAGTAGTCTTCATCTCAAATAACTACATTGCTTCATAAATTGACCTCCGCAGTGTATTCTACCCAAACCCTTTCTACGGCATTTTATCTTTATCCAGTGCAAAAGGTGTCTCCATTTACCATTATCTTAACATTTTTCTTCCCCTGCCTTTTCATGAAATTTCATTTGACTAGAGTGTTTTTTCAAGCAGTCCACAAAAGGCCGCCTTCTTCTATCAAAAGCAGCTCATTCGCTGCCAGTCTCGCCATTTCTGCACAGTCCAGGGCACACACACAGCTCCAACTAGTGTGACTGGCGCCCATCGATCTCTCGCTGCACACCCGGCTTTTCCACTCTGGGTCAGTCAGGCGCCGGAAACTGGGTCTTTTCTCCAGGCTGCAGAAAACTGGGTTGCTCTGCCTGCCTGCATCGCATGGGGCCAAGCCTTGTGGCCGCACCCTGACCCTGTGCCTGGACGGTTGGATAAGCTCAGTGCAGAGCTGAGCTCCTGCTGAAGAAGGGAGGGAGCATGTGCAGAGGGCGGAAGCTGCCTTTGTTGTTGTTTAGTCGTTTAGTGGTGTCCGACTCTTCATGACCCCCTGGACCAGAGCATGCCAGGCCCTCCTGTCTTCCACTGCCTCCTGCAGTTTGGTCAAACTCATGCTGGTAGCTTCAAGAACACTGTCCCACCATCTCGTCCTCTGTCGTCCCCTTCTCCTTCTGCCCTCCATCTTTCCCAACATCAGGGTCTTTTCCAGGGAGTCTTCTCTTCTCATGAGGTGGCCAAAGAACCAAGCTAGACAGCCCCAAAGGTCTGGGCTCAGCAGAAGGCAGCTCCCTCTGTTTGCTTTAAGAGGGGTAGCAGTGGGGGACCAGGCGGCACAGAACCACAGTCCCGTAGCGTCGGATGGGGCCCACAGGGTCATCCATCCCAACCCCTTGCAACGCAGAACTCACAGGTGAATCTCCGCTGCGCTTCCCAAAGAGGAAACCCAGACACGTGTCTCCATAAAACTCTTTTATTGATAAATAAAGGTTAAAACTCTCTTTCTGGCTTTCCCTGCTCCCTCCCCCAGCCCTGGTGGGGGGGGGGTCCTCACCTGCTTCCTTTTCTTCTTAGTCGACGACACCACGGAACAAGGCAAGACATCCTCTTTCATCGCTACTAAAGGGAACAAACTCTTGCTGGAGGGCAGCCCCCACCCTTAGGGGATGGGAAAGCAAGTCCGGAGAGGGGGGAATGTGGGGCAGGCTCTTTTCTAACACTGAGGCCTCAGCAGACCAGAGGAGGACACAGGTTGGGGGCAGCGGGGGGGGGCATTGCATATGACTGTGCCCCAGCAGGGATGTCCGTTTGTCTTTCCTTCCCCTTGGGGGTGGGGGGAGCAGAGCAGACAAGAGCAGCCCCCCATGCTCAGCCGCACCACGATTCCTGACCCATGCAAAGTCGGCGACTGGGGGGAGGGAGCGGCAAGGCACCTGCCCCACTGCAGCTCCCGCTGAGAATTGCACGTGCCTTTTTTGGGGGGGGTCAAAGGTCAGCCTCCCCTCCCTCCGCCCAGCACGCCTACAAGTCTATGGTGTCGCTGCTGACGCTGAGGGCATCGATTTGGCGGCACACGTCCATGAACTCCTCCTGCAGGAGGGCTGCGTGTGGCCCCCGGGGCCCCGAAGACGACGACACCAGGGATTCTTGGGAGACGGGAGCCTGGGGCCAGCTCTGGCGGCCTGGAGGCGGGGGGCTCCCGCAGGCCGGCGAGACCCTCTGGGGGCTTTTCCCGGGGCTGGAGCTGAGCACGAGAGAGGTGTCGTCCGTGGAGTGTCTGTAGGGGCAGGTGGAGCAGGTGCTGCTGCCGCCCTCGCCGCCCCCCCAAGGCTCCGGGGACGAGGAGGCGGCGGTGGTGGCTCCGCTGGCCCCTTCCCCGCTCGCCCCCCAGGACCGGGCAGGCACCAGCTCCAGGCAGGAGGCCGTGCGGTAGAGCTCGCTCTCTGCAGACCGCTCCCGGGCCAGGCTGAGCGACAGGGTGCTGGAGGGGGCGTAGGGAGAGCCCCCGTCCTGAAGGAAGAGCCCCTCGCTGCAGAGAGCTTCGTCGATGCTGCGCCGGAGGTCGATGGGCGAGGGGGGCTGGAAATCAGCCGTGGGGTCGCCAGCCTCCACGGCCACACTCAGCACGGAGACGGCTTTGGCGTCGTCGGCCTCCCCGGCAGGCAGGGCGTAAAGCGGGAGGTAGTCGGACTC